CCATGCGCCAATGGGCCTCGGCACAACAGCGGCAGCTCTACGGAGTGTTCAAGTGAGAAACATTTGTTTCGACTTTTGGTGGACGAACAAATCGTCGGTGCCGAAAAACGTGGCCTGCGCCGATGGTGCTTGAAACATCAAGCATGGTATGTGGTGACTGTCAGTGTTGATCGAGGAAGGAGAACACTCAGGCCGTCGACCGTTCATCCATTTCGTTAGCTGCACCAAGCCTATTGTGTCCTTGTATTCCATGGGCACACAATCATGAAGCATGGCGTCTGAGCTGTGTTCACAGAGCGGGGAGATGCTCTTGCTGCTATCTTATCTGTCCTGTGTATTCCCAAGTGCCGAAGGCTCACAACGATGGTGTTGGACAAGTCAGATAAAATAGAGTCAACGTAAGTACGCATGTGTACTCTTACTGACTGAAACATAAGTGGGGCGTAAGAGCTAATTCAAATGGTGTCGCGACATTCTCATGTACGAGGTTAGTGTGTAGTACTTGTTAAGTACTGAATTCTGCGACTTTGTTTTGTCTCCATATACTGCATGCATTCACGTTTCACAGTTATCAGTTTGACCCTGAGTTCATGTCTGTTATCCCGTGTCTCCTCTACTTCTTTTTGTTTCCACACGGTTCATGGTGTAGCGCTGCACGTGTTCCGTCAGTTTGAACTTCAGCATAAATCGCAACTACTTGTACTTTCAGACATGTCACGTGATTGTTGCCAGGGTTTGAGCCAATCAGAGCGTTTACAGGCAGGGCCTGAACCCCTGATCATGCCTTGCCTGCCAGCTCTACTACGATATTATATGTCACGTACCCGCGCGCGCGCACGGTTCTCCTGCGCTTGGGCTTGCTTTCCCTTGGTAGTTGGAAGTCAGTGGCTGTTTTAGTACTCTTAGATTATGTACAGAAAGTGGTGGACATCACGCAACTGCAGTGTAAATTAAAGGGTGGTTGTCAACTGACAACCGCATAATTTTTCGACATAATAAATAAAAGAATTTTTATCTAAAGAGTGAAAAGCAACTAAATAGAGCGATTGTCGGTTGACAACCCCCCTTTTATTTAGATTATGTATCTGAAGTAAACACAACGTAGAAATATCACAATTGTCTCTTGTGTATTATATCCGTCTGATGTCACCAGATCATCACACGGTGCTGTGACCAAGATACGGATCATGCCGAACGCTTATTCAACTGGACGAATCGCGAGGCTTTTCAGATGCAGGGACACAATGGAAACTGAATGACTTCAGAACAGCACTGAAGCGTTATGTTATCATGCAAGACGCCTTTCTGCGCCGCACAAACACAGGCGGTACTACAGCAGAAGATGTCACTCACTATTCTGCAGGTGCACTGGTGACAGGCGCGTGCAAGTTCACCAGAAGGAAGCGGTCTGATGTTAACTGGAATGCCAGCAGTATGACAGGGTGTGCATTCTGCGGCGGATCTCACCTGGACAAGAGCTGCGCGAAATACACAACAGTAGCACAGCGGAAAGAATAACTGATTGAACAGAAGCGTTGCTTTGTGTGTTTGCGCACAGGGCACCGGTCAACTCAGTGCAAGGCCACCCGCAAGTGTAATGTGTGTTCTCGCATGGGTCACCAATCAGAGTCAACATCATGTCACGATCTGCCCTGAATCTCAACAGAAATCTGACAGCAGTACCAACATAGTAGCTGACCAGCCTGTAGCTGACGAGGTACCAGCATCTAGCGCAACAGCAGCTAGTGCAGCATCAACCAGTATCGCCATTGACCGTAAGATAGTCAGTCGTCTTGATCGGTGCAGATTTCCTCTGGGAGTCTTGACGGGGAGCACCAGAGGACTTCCGCCAGGACTACAGTTTCTGCCTACCACAGTCAGTTTTGTGGTGACTGGCCGACCACGTCACTCCAAGCACTCAGCTACGCCGATGAGCAGCCATGCCAGCTATCGTTTCTCTAACTGATGCAACTTCCGACTCCTGCACCATCCCAGATCTGTGGGACCTAGACTGTGTTGATATCTAGGATTCAGGCAATCTTACTAACAACGACCTAGCCATTAGGCAATTCATCATTGTTCTACGATTTTGCCTGCCACCAATCGTCATGACCTGCGATACTGAGAAGGCCATTTTACAAATCAGTGCCAACCCAGCATACAGAGATGCGACACGATTTCTGTGGTTCGCCAACTCCGACAGTCCATCAGTCACCCCATCCAGCCTGTTCACGCTCATAAGCAGTCCATTTCTGCTTGGCGCGTCTATACAGCATCATTTGGCACAGCAAGATGACAAAACAGCTAGCAGTGGCTATTGGTGAGAACATAGGGTCTTCTGGCGTATGGTATAATTATATGAGCAGCATGAGAGTGAAGTAAAAGACTATTAGCTCAAACATTCAGTCTTTTAAGAGTAGGTGTTTCATCACGGAATAGGTTCTGCAGTTCACATACACACTGCAACAATGGACCAGCAGTGTCCAGCATACAATAGAGTCATGTGAATATGTACCGTATGCATACTCACAGCTGCAAAGCCAGCGCCCCGTGGCTGCTTGACTTCTCAATCGATATAAATTTTCACAACAGTAAGACTCTGTGACCAATCAGAGCTGTGCTTCGAAGTAGTCACAAATGCCCCATGATCAGTCACAAAACAAAACTTTGCAACCAGTCACAGCTTCCACGGTGCCCCAAGACCAGTCACCAGAAATGACCGTGGTAAATCTGCAGGGAGTTCCATAATCTGTTCATTGCAGAGTCCACTATGCTATGATTCAAGAGGGGGGGGGGGGGGGGGGGGTAGCGTTCCTGCGGATGCGGAAAACTTGGCTGGAACCCGAGTGTCACGTGAACCCTGATTTTTAAGACTTTTATTATTTGTTTTACGATGAGCCTATTGTACACGATACAGGCTCAGAACACACTTTTCATCTAGTTGGCATATCAGGGATATAGGGCGGAGCAGCCCATATCCCCAATTATGACACGCGAGTAATAGTGAAATACGATTGGCGTATTGTGCTGGACTGACTGCGGTAATGTAAAGCTAAAATAAAGCAGTCAGTTTGCCCTTAGCATGGCCTTGTCATGAGGGTGCCACATCCGTGGAAAGGCAACATGCCGGCTAATCTCCCTGAGAAGTTGAGTGGTTATCAGCAGGCGATGACGCTGTGTCGATGATGACCTGTTGATGCCCGACAGGAACCTTGCGAGGAGAGTTATTGGGCCTGACGGGTAGGTAAAGCCAACTTCCACATGAAGTTTGCGGATGGCCGACATGTGGACATGAACAGATCGGGGCTGAAAAGTTCTGAACAACTCGGCAGCAAAATAACACATAAAGTAAAAAGTCATCACCTGGCAATGGATTCCAGTTATGCCCTTGACAGAACTGGAAGTAACGGGTATCGGCGGAAAAATATTTCCGGCTGGTGCCAGTGCCGCTAGCTGCAGCACGGAGTCCGGCAACTGAGAGTTGGCAAGACTGGCTGATCTGGCTCAGCTGCTGCTTCCGGAGCCCTCGATGGTTCAAACACCATCGGCGCAGGCCACGTTTTTCGGCACCGACGATTTGTTCGTCCACCAAAAGTCGAAACAAATGTTTCTCACTTGAACACTCCGTAGAGCTGCCGCTGTTGTGCCGAGGCCCATTGGCGCATGGTGTGTATACTCCAAATCTACATGTATGATGATGGGTCACTGCTGACGTTTCTGCTCTTGGACAGTGCAACGCCGCATGAAGATATGTTGTGGCTCCACAATCGCTGAGAACGCTAGTGTGCGTCCATGGAATACTAAAACACAATAGGCGCGGCGCAGCTAACGCCCACTTGGATGAATCGGAGTGGTGGCGAGTGCATTCTCCTTCCTCGGTGAACACTGCTGGTCACCCTGTTTGATGATCCACCAAACACCATCGGTGCAGGCCGCGTTTTTTCGGAACCAGCCATTTATTCGTCCACCAACAATAGAAATTAATGTTTCTCACTTAAACACTCTGCATGATCTGTAGAGCTGTCGCTGTCGTGACAAGGCCGTGTATACTCCAAGTCTACATGTAGGATGAAGAGTAACAGTTACTGCTGATAATTAAGTTTGCGCTCGTGGACAATACAACGCTGTGTGAAGTAAATTGTGGCTCCACAATCGCTCTGAATGCTAATGTGTGTCCATGGAATACTAAAACACAATAGGCGCGGTGCAGCTAACGCCCAACGTGGATGAAACGGACAACAGCAGCGACTAGTCTAGAGCGTTCTCTTTCCTCGGTGAACACTGCTACAAGACATTATGCTTGATGATTCACCAAACACCATCGTTGGGGGCCAAGTTTTCCGGCGCCAGCGAGTTGTTCGTCCACCAACTAACTTTGATGAGTCTTTCTTCAACACTTCGTAGAGCAGCCGCGCAAGGCCTTTCCTTCGCGTTAGGGTAGCGATCCTTCCTAGATGATGTCGCTATTCATTGTTACTTTTTACTACAATGAGTAGTATTTCTCCGAAAATAAAGTCAGCTGCCTGGGCATTGATTAGGCATTATATTAGTAATAGTACTGCCTAGGCCTAGCGCCTGGACTTGGAAAAAAATTGATTTTGCAAGTCTTCAAATTCAATCATGTTTCCATGTACATGATGTACGCGCTATCCAGCCATGTGGCGTGAACAGATTGCTTGACGTGAAAGGTAGCGCGAGTACGAGTCGTACCGTACGCGCTCGCGATCGCGGTCCGCGGACGTGTCAGTGACACGTGAAACGAAAAGAATTTTTTGGCGGGTAGTCGGCAAAAATTAAGTGACGGTCCCTTTAGTCCTTCGCAGTTCATAACCCCGTTATCTGGTTATCATGGTTATGAACTCTTGGTCCTACTGTAGATGCTGGCCTGATATGAGCGTGAGCTGCACTTCTGCTGAAGTTCTGGCCGCAAGCTCCGCGCAAAAATCCAGACAAAAAAAATGATTCGCGGGGGATTTGAATGAAAGATTAGAATACTGAATAGAAAAGCTGAACAGAACGAGTCGAGTGTCAGTGGATGAAGAAGACACACACTTACTGACTGGCCCTCATTATGATATGAGGCTAGGCTCATCACTGCAAGAACGAACTTTGATTTGCCACCTAGACATACTGCTAGCACTACCACGTCCACATTCTTTAGAGCGACATAAAAACACAGGTTCTGAGGCAAATGTCCAGCCGCGCCAGGCTTTGCAAGTGATTCCGAGAAAGAGAGAGGGCCAGTGTTTTCAACCGTGGTGAAAAAGTCAGTTGCTGCCTCTCTGCTACACCGTTCCGTTGACTGCTGTCCACACACGACTGGAGGATTGAGAGAGTTAGCAGAACAAACATGCCGAATGAGCCGAAACGAGAGACCACGTAGGTTTAGCTATCTTTGTCCCCTGGCCGTTTTGGAAAAGAGGGAGAGAGAGAGAGAGAGAGAGAGAGAGAGAGAGAGAGAGAGAGAGAGAGAGAGAGAGAGTGCGTGTGTGTGTGTGTGTGCGCGCGTGTGTGTGTATGTGCGTATGTGTGTGCGTATGTACATGTAAGTGCACGTATTCGTATGCATGCGTGGTGTGTGTGTGTGTTTGTATTATGTGTGCTCATATGCACGTGTGTGTGTGCATGTGCTGTGTGTGTGTGTGTGTTTGTGTATGCGTAACTATGGAGTAACGATAATGTGCATAAGTTTGCCGCTCCATGCAAAGCCTTTACGATGATGGCTTTTGCATGTCCTCTTCTTTTTCTTTTTTTCTTCTTCTTTTTCTTTTTTTCTTCTTCTTCTTTTTCTTTGGTGACATACAAAGTCTACGGACTGCGTACGTAGGAACAATTCGTAGAAAAAAAAGAAAAAAAGATTTTGTTGGTATAATAAGTACATGGAAGCTGTAAAGCCTATAAAGGTTCCTGTTGTAGTGGGAAAACGGCATACCGGTAACTGTTATCAAGAGTACATAACCCCCCAGATTGTGCAACGCCTGATCCAGCTCTGCATAGGGTATTGGTCGAGCGTAGTCGGATCTCCTGATGTCATGCGTACACTTCACACCAGCGCAAGGCCGGTCTCGAGGCAGGGCACCGTTGTTTTTGATCAGCGAGTACCCGCGACTCCCCGGGTTCCGCTCAGGTGTGTGCGGTATTATGACGCAAGGGTCCGATTACGCTCGACCAAAACCCTATGCACAGCTGGATCAGGCGTTGCACACTCTGGGGGGGGGGGTATGTACTCTTGCTGTTATGGGTGTGCATATGCTGGGGATACAGGTAGTCATAAAGGCCACTGTGTACATGACTTGTACTGTACTGTTAGATAAGTTCCTCAAATTGCAGGAACCGCACGACCATTTCTGGCATGTCTGTGATGGCGGACGATGCGGTGGCGGACGCTCCATAATCCACCCTGGCCCTGTAGAGGCTTCTGCCAACGCAGCGGAGAGTCAGGTCGTGGGTCGGCATTTTCATACTCCAGATGACAGAGGGGGCCATCTGGCGAATCCTCAGCCGAGATTTTGTGGAGGTGCTGCTTCAGGGGTGGACAGTGGGTAGCGCAGCGCGCTGTGCACTGGCCATGCGGCATACTGGTAACTGCAAACACTCTAGCATGCATACCAGTATGTGTGTGTGTGTGTGCACGCGTGTGTGTGTGTGTGTGTGTGTGTGTGCATGTGTGTGTGCGTGTGTGTGTCTGTGTGTGCGGGTGTGTGTGTGCGTGTGTGTGCAGAGAAAATCTGTGGGTGCACATCCAGTGCATTTGCAAATTTGCATGCTTCTCTTGCGATGGGCGTATACATGGTACATACATGGTGTGCATGTATTTGTGTGCGTGTGCGTGCGCGTGTCCCTTTCTTCTGATGGCAGGCTGGAGCGTGGCACTCGTATCAGCCAGTACGCACCGAGACACACGGTGTACATACGCGATCTGCCCGAGATCCCTCGCAACCTACCAAAGGTCAGTTGGTCGCGTTGACGTGGCCCTACACTACTATGATTCTTGAGGACTTGTTTTTACCCGGGGGAATATACGTCCATATAGTTCCTATTTCCCCTTGTGTTCATGCACAGTAGAATGCCCGGTATCCGATCGTCAACTATCCGAACGGTCAATTATCCATTAAGGGACAGCATGAGGTTTTGCTGATTTCTCACCATCCGCAGCACCTTTGGTAATGGTGCAGAGATGTGTATATAGCAGCCTGATGAAAATGTCTACAGACAGGAGACCACCGCCACGAGGCGACCGCGAAAGGACGAGATCGTGGGGCGCTCTGGGGGTACTTTACGGTACATGTACCGTAGTGCGACGACCAGCGTTTGTGCATGCAGACCTCTAGATGACATCACACCTGCATGTTATTACCAAATATTCTCTATTATAAGCACAGGTCTCCATTACTAGCACAGTCTCTAATACTAGCACACTGTGAGCACCTTTCGAAACATTATAAGCACAGTCTCTATTATTAGCACGGTCTTGGTGGAAATCAATGCTGCATGCATGATATCTAGCATGTATTTCTTCTTGCTCTGTATGGATATATTGGTTGAAAAAATATAAGCGCAGTCTCCAATATAAGCGCGGTCTCCAATATAAGCACGGGGTAGAGGGGTGTTGAAAAAATATAAGCACGGCGCTTATAATAGAGAATATACGGTAAGTCACCGTATTTTCTCTAATAAGAGCCCGGGGTTCTTATTTTTTCAGTGACAGCTCTACCCGCGCTACTATTAGAGACTGGGCTATTATTTTTTCAATTGTCAACTATCAAGCCAACTCCAGTCTATACAGGCATAAACTGACCATATCAAGACTGATTTTTCAACCCTATACTCAGGAATATTGTCAAAACAGATGTTTCACAATAGCATTGGCGCCAGGAAGGAAGCAGTAGACCAAAAACCTCCTTAATATGTTCTTGGCATGTTGTAATGCTGTTTTATATGCAATCAATATACTTGTTGCATACTCCAATTGTGACCCGCGCTACTATTAGAGACTGTGCTCTTCTTATTTCAAACCACCCTCACCCTGGGTCATTATTGGAGACTGGGCTATTATCGGAGACCTGGGCTTTTATTAGAGATAATACGGTAGTTGCAGATATCGTGAAAACAACAGTACATCCTGCATTGTGTGACCTGTGCAATTACTCCTTGCCACATTCGAGGCCACAAAAGTCCAAGAACAGGGAAATAGAAATTCAGCCAGGTTTTGCAAAATAAGGACAGGTATGCCATGGCAAAATGGAGAAGCAGATCTAAATCCCAGATTTTTGAGATTTAAAGTGGGCTTTTATTAGAGAAAATACGGTATCTACGCTTGATGTAATCTTGATGTGAGTTTGTGTTTTGCAATGTGTGCGCTGTACATTGTTCAGGTTGCGTCCAAGTGGATGCGGGATTCTCTGTCACCGTACAGGGTGAGCGGCGCTTGCTTTCGTGTTCTCTCGCCCTGTGTGTGTGTGTGTGTGTGTGTGTCTGTGTGTGTGTGTGTGTGTGCTCCTGTTGTGTGATTCGCCTTTTCCGGCAGCCGTGCCTGGGCATAGAGCACTATTTGCAGCAAGGACCGTAGACACACTGTGTCCGATTTGTCGTATCATGCGCCTGTGTGTCTATTGCTGTGCACGTTTGAACAGGTGATTATGACGAATGCTGTGGCGTCACTCAACAGCCACGGCGGGAAAATCTACTTCGGAGTCACCAGAGAAGGTATGGGGCCATTCCATATAATTACTAATTAGAGAGGTTCTGCACTTCTTCCAGTTGAGCAACTTTACGTAAGTGGGCGGGGAAAACCCGTGAATTCGCGAGTTTGCACTCCACTTACGGAAAGTTGTCTACGGAGAGTACATAGGTAGGGCTCTGATAACGGAGGTACTCCTTAAGTGGATTGGGGTGCACATCTATGACTCTCTCCCCAGGTCGACCCGGCCATACACTGCCGCGGTCCGAGTTGCCAAGGGCAGCTACGTGATTCGAAACTCCGTATGGCGGAACACAAATCCGCATGCAGTGCACGTAAGACTTTCCGTAGATCGACTGAGTTATGCGGAACCTGTCTATTACAGCTGTATCAATTATTTTTCACGTAACGAAAAGTTTACGAGTAGCTATGACCCTCTTGACCTGCCCGGTACGCGAACCCGTCAATTTTTTTTCGAATATGACCCCCCCCCCCCTCCGGTCTGTGGAAACCTCCAGTAGTGGGGAGGTGACTTTAATTGCGCGCCCGTTGTTTGTCCTGTCGCCAGGGATTGTTGAAGGTTGCGTCGTCAACAGAGAGACAACGGACCACTACCAGCTGATTTGCGACGACGTCTTCTCCAAGATACAGCCTATCGTACCCCGCCAGAGCTTTCGGTACGTTTCCTACTCCAATTGTGAAATGCTGGGTTTTCTGTGTGTCTGTCTGTGTGTGGTGTGTGACATAGTTCTCAGTTTACCTGGTTGAGCCCATAGCGCACACACACACACACACCTGGTTCCGTTCCAGATTGCGCTGCTTGGAGTCTCACCGCTCTTTTTTTCTTTTTCTTTTTTTCTTGCCAATGCCATTGTTGCTGTTTCACCTGGCCGGGTACAGTTTCTTCATGTTTGAAAACTTTGGATTTGTTTGAATGTTGTTGTTGTTGTTGTTGTTGTTGTTGTTGTTGTTGTTGTTGTTGTTGTCGTCGTCGTCGTCGTTGTTGTTGTTGTTGCTGTTGCTGCTGTTGCTGTCGTTTTTGTTGTTGTTGATGTTGTTGTTGTCGTTGTTGTTGTCGTCGTTGGTATTGGTGTTGCACCCGGCAGGGTAGAGTTTCTCCCTGTTGTCATGAAAGGACGTTCAACACGCTTCCAGGTAATGTGTATACGTGTGGACGGCGGCAACAAGAGTGAGACCTACTGGGACAACTCCAATCCAAACATGCCCAAGGTAAGATGGTGTGAACACGGCAGAACGAGACAGGCAGATTGTGTGCGGTGTGTGTGTGTATGTGCATGTGTGTGTGTGCGTGCGTGTGTGTGTCTGGGGAGGGGGGAGGAGGTGTGTGTGGGTGTTCAGCCAGTCGGATCAACAGTACTTCACGGTACTACCTGTAATACCAAGATAGTCGTCACCTGTCCACCTGTAGCTTACTATTGTATACCGTATTTCCGCAAATAAAAGGCCGTCCTCGTATACAACGCCTTCCTCGTATACAACGCCTTCCTCGTATACAAGGCCGGGGCAGGGGGCGATTGAAAAAATAGAAGACCGTCTCCGATTAGAAGACCGGACCTACTAAATGAGTCTTTGTTCTTGTGTTAAAAATAGAAGACCGTGCTCAAACTGTGGGAAAAAAATAGAAGACCGTGCTCAAACTGTGTAGAAGAAAATGGAAGAACGGGGGTAAAACTGTGTGGCGAGAAATAGAAGACCGGGGTCAAACTGGGTTGAAAGAATAAAAGACCGTCCTCGAATACAAGACCGTCCTCGATTATAAGGCCGGGTTAGGACGAGGTTGAAAAAATAGTAGACCGGCCTACTATTTGTGGAAATACGGTATGTGCATGTCCAATGTGTTTTCTTCTATTTGACATGTACATTTTAAAGTGGTGGACATCACGCAACTGAATTGTAAAGAAAAGAGGGTTTGTTAACTGGCAACCGCTCTATTCAGTTGCTATTCACACTCTGCGCATGCGCTGGATGAAAAATTCTTTATTTGTGATGTCGAAAAAATTATGACGTTTCGGACGTTTCGACATCACAAATAAAGAATTTTTCATCCAGCGCATGCGCCGAGTGTGAATAGCAACTGAATAGAGCGATTGCCAGTTGACAAACCCTCTTTTCTTTACATGTACATGTAGCTTGAACTGTTGTCCATGTAGGCACACTCGCCTTGCCTTCATCTTTAAAATCTGCTCATTTCTTGTCCGTCCCTCTCCGATGTGCCAGATGTACCTGAGAAGTAAAGGCATCGTGACAGGCCCGCTCGGTCCCAACGAGATTGGTCAGCTTGTCCTGGAGCGCTACCAGCAGTTCCTGCATGGTGGGGGACGCATCAATGCGATCGTCCGCGGAGCACCGGCTGCATCAGCAGCGGCAGGTCAGTGTAACGAGTTAGCAATACAATTTTGAATGGTGCCAGTCGGATGTCCAATAGGAGAAGAGGAGATTGTTGCAGTGACAAGTTGTTGCAGTAAGCCCACCCTGTGTGATGGGCTTTTTTCTTTTTCTTTTAATGGTGGCTTCAGGATTTTGCAAATACGAGTGAATAGTGCGCCGCAGACGTGTGGGGATTTTCTACAGGTTTTGGTTGAGCTTGTTTCACCAAACAAAATTATTTCGTTTTGTGAATAAAAGCACGGTGTGTTTGTGCTTCCTGTACACATGACGTGTTCCTATGCATACGCTTAGAAAAAGCTTCCCGTAAGGAAACGTCTTCTTCCACTTCTGTGTACTATCTGTGGCGGCTGGACAGTGAGCGAAAAATCATTCTACCTGTACTTTATACAGTCTAACCTCGTTAGGACAAACTTCAAGGGACCGAACAAGTTCGTTTGTCACACACGGAAAGTTAGGTGTGGTCCTCGAAAGAGTGCTCAATGCACCGGGGTGCAGAGCTTCATACAAAAGGAATAGAATGGGATACGGAGCTTGGGTTTGTCTTATCGGGAGTTCTTCTTATCCAGATCTGACAAAAAAATTGATATGCATAATTATTATCATATGGATTGTATTTATGTGAAGGTGCATGCTGTGGCTATTAGATGTAAAACATTTTTTCAGAACATAACCCAGCAACAGGTATGTACAATGTGCAAGGAATTCATGACAGCATTACATCCGCCTTGTAACATGTTTTGCCACTACAAGAGGCCTCGACTATCGCCATATCGGGAAAAACTACAGCCAGCGTCCACACGGGGACCGAAAGTTCGTACTATACGCTGATTTTGTTCAAATCACGCTTGAAATTAGTCCGTCTATTAAACGAATAATTTTGACTTGATATGATGCCTGGCTCTAGTTCGTACTAAAGGAAAGTTCGCCTTATCAGTGTTCGTCCTAACGAGGTTTAACTGTATCATCAGAGTTTGTTGTGTTCATTTTCATACCGCATTTAACCTGCCCCTGTCTCTTTGCTTTGCTGTTCGTTAGGCTCGAGAGTGCCGCCATCTGCTGGCAAGCGTTCGGCTTCAGCTGCCACCGATGTCCAGCCGCTGGCAAAGCGTTTGGCAGCAGCCAAGGCACTCAAGGCGTCATCATCATCGACGTCGAGCAACCAGCTCAAGCCGACGACGGCAACAGCGGCGGCGGCAGGCTTGAGGGCTCCCGTCGTGTTTGACGACAAGCCCGCGTCCTCAGCCAGGGTTACGCTGCGACGATCCTCAACTCTACGTCCCACCGCCGGACCCGTTCGCCAGCCTCCGCCGTCCGCCGCGGGTGCTCGTGGGAGAATCATCACCGTCGTCGAAGAGGACGAGGAAGGCTGAGCACCGCTCGCCGGCGGCTCCCCCGCTCGCGCGGATGCTGCCTACGCCTTACCAGCTGCTCTGGACTCGCTCAGCAAATGTCGCGCACCGCGTGACTAGAACTAGTATTGCTTACTCCAGGCACCGCGTGACTAGAATTGCTCCCTCCAGAGCACTGTTAGCTGTTAATGTTAACCCACATCCGCGGTGGACTACATCCATTAACAGCATCACCTAACCGTATCATTGTCAACGAAAGTCACCAGATTCCGTCGCCAAGGTGGCCGTATTGCGCCACCCGGCAGCTGATAGCAGGCCGACCATTAGAGACGGATGGCCACCGTCGATGATGATCTTCAGCAGGCTGCGACATGGAGCAGTGTGGAATACTCATGACTCAAGCCCACCTTTTAGTGACGTGTGGCAATCTCGTGGGTCAACGGAGTGCTACAAACGAGTACAATGGAATCTTGGTGTATGCACTGCCTACGTTTGGCCACACTGGACTTTCTCTTCTGCGTCGTGTTACGGCAATTGGTTTGCGTGGCGTGGCGGTGCCTTGCCATGTGTGGCTGGCGATTGCAGTTCTCATGTGTGCTGCGTCAGTGCACACACTATGTGTATGTGTGTGTGTGTGTGTGTGTGTGTGTGCATGTGTGTGTGTGCATGTGTATGTGTGTGTGTGTGTGTGTGTGCATGTGTATGTGTGTGTGTGTGTGTGTGCATGTGTGTGTGTGTGTGTGTGTGTGTGTGTGTGTGTGTGTGTGTGTGTGTGTGTGTGTGTGTGTGTGTGTGTGTGAGTGTGTGAGTGTGTGAGAGAGAGAGAGAGAGTGTGTGTGTGAGTGTGTGTGTGTGTGTGTGTGTGTGTGTGTGTGTGTGAGTGCGTGTGTGCGTGTCTTCGTGTGTACGTTCATGTGTTTAGTGTTGTAACGTTACCGGCCCTCTGGTGTACCACACTCAGTTTATGCCTTTCGTTAGAACGTCGGTGTTCCCTCCATTTGTGTTGCGATTGGCGGTATAACTGAGATTACTCGGTGAGGATCACTATTTTGTTTTTGCTTTTTTTAAACTATTTTTATACATCCAAAAAGTAAGAAAGACGACCCGGTTTGTGCGGGTTTGAGTCAGGTTCCACTGTGAGTATGTAGTTGCCAATGTGAATGTGCGCGAGGTGAAGTTTTAAATTGCGAATTTGGCTATGCGTCGGAGCTACCCTCGTACTAGCAATGCATGAATGCATTTTTGGCACACTGCCCGTCATGACCTAGTCACGAGTTGAATGGGGAATCAGCTGAGCTGGGGCATTGCTGCATAATAGTTCGGTGTGAAGTGAGCTAAGCGCCCTTTTTACATGCGCTGGCTCCATCTGCTACAGTTTCAGGCTTCCAAGTACCATTTCTCTCTGAGACTTTGGACAGTTTTGTACGTGATGCATAGCAGCATCGCACACAGGCATTTCTTTTGAAATCTCCCGTATTATGCAAAAAAATCGCTGCTCGTAAATCGCAAGGAAACTGAAACCCAGTCAGCTTGATCGCCATGCATTTTCACTACCTAATGAAGGCAGCATGAGAATTGCCATCTGTCATTCTGACAGAGATGCCTGGCAGTCACACTGTGCTTACACAGCTGCATAATGCCGTTTATTATTTTTATTTTACTATTATTATTTTTTCGGCAACGCAGATGATGATGATGATGATGAATGAAGGCAGCGCACCCATAGCTCAGAGTAGCCCACTCTTTTATAACCTGGGAATATCGAATGGAGTCATATATTTTTATAGAAAAGAAAAAGGACCAAGGAACTACAAGACTAAGTTACGCTATACTAGTAATCATAATGTACACTACAGTCCATTCATCGGAAACTGGCCCGCTGGCTTTTAAAAGTCGGATTTGGGCCGAATTGAGGATCAAAAACCCACTTTAAATCTCAAAAATCTGGGTTTTGGATCTGCTTCTCCATATATTTTGCCATGGCATACCTGTCCTAATTTTGTAAAACCTGGCTGAATTTCTATTTCCCTGTTCTTGGACTTTTCTGGCCTCAAATTATGTGGCAAGGAGTAATTGCACGGGTCACACAATGCAGGGTGTACTGTTGTTTTCACGATATCTACAACTATGTGTGGGAGACACCAAAAAGTTAGGGTGGCAGTTTCCAATGAATGGACTGTAACACCAGCACGTAACTTGTACGGTACTTAAGGGTGCGTTCTTAAATGCTCCAGCTTCTAGAAGAAGAAGAAAAGAGAAGTCAAAGAAACTGGGATTCTTCAAGGACGGGTCTCGAAGAATTCGGAGATATTTTGCAGATGTCAAGCAAAATGGAGCGCCAAAGGGACCGTGATCTTGAGTGCCACGAAAATAGTCTGCGCTGTGCGTATGCGAAAAGGGAAATGCGTACACTCATGATCAACACGTGGCTTTTAGCCTAGTTCGCATGCGCTGATCCGAAACCGCGGGAATCTCCGAGTTTCAACCACCTCTGAAGCTTGGAGAGCTTGGAGAGCTTTGGAGAGCCTCCTGAAATTCGGAGAGGATATAAGAACAGCTCTCGAACTTTTCGGAGAGTCCCAACTTTTCCGAGAGGATTTAAGAACGCACCCTTAGTTCCTGGGTCCTTTTTTTCTTTTCTATAAATAATTTATCCTTGGCTCTCCATCTGAGTCCATTCATATATTTTTGCACACAAGCCCGATAGTATACTGTTTGTAAACAAGTGTAATCGACTACTAGTAATCGACTACTAGTAATCGACTACTAGTAATCGACTACTAGTAATTGATTGTTGAACTAAAGAGAAATCGGGCGCGGGCAAAAATCCATGATCGGTCCAGACCTAAGTGAAAAAAATGAAAATCAGTGGTGCCAGTAATCAACACGTGCAAAAATAACTCAGGGGGGTTGTGAACTTGGTAAGCCTGGATATGATTTGTGCGCAAAAACAACACAAACAACAGCAACAAATAACAGCTATGAAGCACGCGAGCGACCAAAACACAGAGAGAAGTAAAATACCTAGAAAGTTGGAGATCGTCCGAAACGCCTACTTGCTTAAACGACGGGAAGAAAACAAACAATGTCCAGCGCGTCACGCCACGGAGATTCTGGATGCCCGCACCCACACCGCTAAGTCCAGCCAGGACAGCATGGGCAGCGGCAACAACAACAACACCTACACAGCCAGAACGAGAAGAAGGAGAGAACATCGGAAGCCACGGGAGCTACACGAAAATCGATGAATCCCAGGGCGGTCGAATGGGTGTTCTGAAGCCGCACTTGCTATGCACAGTACAAGTACATCAAATCATACAGCAGACTACGGTAGCAGCCGAATAGGTACTCCGTGAACGAAAGGAGAACTAAGGTATACGCTAGGGTTGGTATGATGAGTTCCGAATACGGCTGAGCAGCAATGCATGCGAGCCAACTAAAAAGCAGCAGATACGGCCGAGCGAGCGCCAGCCTGGTGCAGACCAACTACATGATACGCACTGTGTTGAAGTGATTCTCCGGTGACACCATGCGGCGATGGTACCGACCGCGTCCGCGCGGAATTCCGCGGTCATCGTACGTGCGTGCCTCGCGTTCCATATACTTGTGGAAACAGGCCGGAGAGAGCGCAGTCTTTGAGTGGATGAGATGCACGGTGGTGCCACAGCAGGGAGGTGCACACTGTGACGCTCCGATCTCGACAACAAGAACACTAGAATGATGGTTTCTTCTTCTGGGCTGCACAGCGGCACCCACGCGCACGCACCATCCATTCCCAGCATCATAATCAAGTCACGCCATATGAACGAACACGGGTGTACGGCGAAACCAATGCACGAGACACGTAATGCATTCAGCGGGTCAAAAACTCAAAACCAACGCACCGAGTGCGTGCCGCGACGTGCGGATCTCGACAGCAACACACACACGCACATACCGCGTGAGACGGACGCACACAGACGTAGGGCGAAACTAACGCACGAGATACGTAACGCATCGGGTGGGTAAAGCCAACACACTGGGTACAGCCAGCCACACACTACGCTGTGCGATTGTAGTAAGCAGTGACCAGGGCACGATCAGTCGCTGACAGTCCGCGAAGAACTTGCTGCAGAGAGAAACGAGGTAGAGCGAAAAAAAAAGAGAAAAGAAAAAAAGAGGTCAGCATACTGTAGGTATGTAGCAGCAATAATTATACAATAGCATGTGTACACACACACACACACACACGTGTGTGTACACGTGTGTGTACACGTGTGTGTACACACACGTGTACACACACACACACACACACACATACATACACACACACACACACACACACACACACACACACACACACACACACACACCACCACCACCACCACCACCACCAACAACAACAGGCAGTAGGGTTAGAGCAACAAGGGTCAGGGTTGGGGGCAGCCCACAGGCAGTAGGGTTAGAGGCAGCAACAAGGGTCAGGATTGAGGGCAACAATAGGGAATAGGGTTGAGGGCAACAATAGGGAGTAGGGTTGAGGGCAACAATAGGGAGTAGGGTTGAGGGCAACAATAGGGAGTAGGGTTGAGGGCAACAATAGGGAATAGGGTTGAGGGCAACAATAGGGAATAGGGTAAAGGCAACAACAGGGAGTAGGGTTGAGGGCAACAATAGGGAATAGGGTAAAGGCAACAATAGGGAATAGGGTAAAGGCAACAATAGGGAGTAGGGTTGAGGGCAACAATAGGGAGTAGGGTTGAGGGCAACAATAGGGAGTAGGGTTGAGGGCAACAATAGGGAGTAGGGTTGAGGGCAACAATAGGGAGTAGGGTTGAGGGCAACAATAGGGAGTAGGGTTGAGGGCAACAATAGGGAGTAGGGTTGAGGGCAACAATAGGGAGTAGGGTTGAGGGCAACAATAGGGAATAGGGTAAAGGCAACAACAGGGAGTAGGGTTGAGGGCAACAATAGGGAATAGGGTTGAGGGCAACAATAGGGAATAGGGTAAAAGCAGCAACAGGGAGTTACAGTCAGGGGTAGCAACGGAGACTCCTTCGATTTAGGCTAAGGCCTGTGGAGAATCCATAAACACATTAATACAAACGGGGGATCAGGGCTAGGGCAGCAATAGGTGATATGCCAAATAACGTGCAACTAGACTTGAGAAGGCATTGCAGAGTAGTTGCATACAAAGTTCAAAGTTGTACGGTTACCTTTGACTTGCATTCCTGCAGAGCTCAGGGACTACCATGTACACATTGTAGTATAATTCGCATGCAACTTGCGTGCGATGCCCTCTCAAGTCTAGTTGCACGTTATCAGGATGTACACATTGTAGTATAATCCGTATGCAACTTGCGTGCGATGCCCTCTCAAGTCTAGTTGCATGTTATTTAGCATATCATCTATTCGTACCAGTACCTATACCATACCTGGTCTCTTGGAGCCAGGAAGCGCCTTGCCGGTTCCTTGCAGGCATAGTGGTAGAACTCCGTCTGCTCGTAGTACATGTAGTCGGCGTTAGACACTCGCCGCCAGCGTAGTACCCTGCACATACACACGTGCACGCACGCGCGCGCGCACACACACACACACGCATACATACCCACACATGCATACCTCAGACCTGCCCATCGCGGAAGCGATGATAGCGAACAGCTATGTTAGACATAGCAACTTGTGCTGGGATTACACCATTCAACAGCTTGCAGGGCTGATGAATTGACCGCCACTAATTTTAGCCTGGTATCCACCACACAGCTGATGAAGTGGCTTTTTCTGGCCAGTGAATCCCTATTTTTCATTTTTTTTACACACACTTGCCACACCACAACATACTCCGGCATACACTGGCTGTTGGTAACCACCCAGGAGAATGAAAGAAGAGCTAGGAGAATGAGAAAGAGAAGAAAGACGTGTGCGACCATAATCGTCGGGAATTGAACCTGCAACCTCTCGATTGGAAATCGACTGCACATACAATACCACTACACCATATGGGACACACACATGCATACACATACACACACACTTTGAAAAGTATGCACTGTACACTGGTACGGATATACATCTGTACTATGGGCCTCAAAGGGTTAACACAACAATGACAAACAATACCGTATTTCCCCGTAAGTTAGTACGTACTAACTTTCAAACTTAGCAGCCACATGAGTACTAACTTTCGGGGGTGGTACTATCTTTCGGGGAGTACTTTTTTTATCGGGGGTAAATGACACGCAGTGGGAAGCCTGCGCAACTCCAGTGTCCGTGCATATGATGTATGTACTGTACGGTGTCTGTACATGTAGGACGGGTACGAACTTACTATCTTTCGGGGGGGGGGGGGACTGTCTTTCGGGGTGATAACCTCGGCAGTGGAAAGTGTATTTTTTATAGGGGGGGGGGGGGGGGGGGGGGAGGGTACTAAGTCATTGGGGAGAACTAACTTACGGGGAAATACGGTAGTGTGGCATGGTGCAGAACCTACCCAAGGGCGATGGGATGATGGCAAGTGCGGCACATTGCACGGTTGCTAGGCGATATTTCAAAACTGTACACCTGCGCACACAGACACACATGCACAACCCATGCACATGCACACCACACACACACACACACACACCACACACACACACATACACACACATGCAGACAATTACTTTCGTCCTGGACACGATACAAACCAGTCACCCAATGCCTCGAGAAGTATCAACATTGTCTCACGCACTCACAGCAGAGCTGAGCAGCATAACTGCTACCCATTGGATGACAAACCATTAGAACGACTACAGTAAAACCAAGAGTACATAACCCCCCAGAGTGTGCAACACCTGATCCAGCTCTGCATAGGGTCTTGGTCGAGCGGAATCGGATCTTTGCGTCATAATACCGTACACATCTGAGGGGAACCCGGGGAGTCGCGGGTACTCTCGGATCAAAAACAATGGTGTCCTGCCTCGAGACCGGCCTTGCGCTGGTGTGGAGTGTACGCATGACATCAGAAGATCCGATTCCGCTCGACCAAGACCCTATGCAGAGCTGGATCGGCGTTGCACACACTGGGGGGTTATGTACTCTTGGTAAAACCTGCCAAGGTGATCACTCTGATAAGGTGAACTAAAAAAGCTTTCGCTTTTTGACGAAGAGTGGTACATATGATTAACAAAGGTAGGAATTATTACGGTACTTTTCCAGACGTTTCGTCGTTCTGAACAACAGCGCCAGTGGATAAAGAATCTGTACCACTCTTGGTCTGAAAAGAACAAAACCTTTTTTCGATTTTACAATGAGAGTGGGTAACCAATGGCCTGTCCATGATCAATAGTTACTCTTAATAAGGTGAACACCAGCCCTGGAGGACCACCACAAATAGAAACAAGCGGTGCGATGATGTCCTGTTACATTCATTGGCAAACAACACGCTGCACGCTGTACAGTAAAACCTGTCAAGGTGGTCGCTCTGTTACGGTGAACACCAGACCTACAGTGCGTTTCAAAAATATAGACGCGCGATTACAAAAAAAACGTTAGGCCAGCATCTATACCACATAAAATCTGTAAAATTAATCACTTTGTGCATAGAAATTTCGAAATTGAGCGTTTGCTATCCGATCGCTATAAAATCTATATGAGAGTAATTGCGGGAAGGACCTGAGCAACATTCCGAAAAAAATTCTCAAAAGCTCCAGCCAAATTTGAAATATTTCAAAAATACCATGCGTCTATATTTTTGAAATGGACCGTAGCGGACCACCACGGCCAGGAACACTGGGGCACTGTTTGCAGTTACATTGACCCTGGATAAGAAGACCGCCTGTACTACACGACGACCACATAGGCAGGGTCCCATGAGCGGTCAGCTTAGACAGGTGTCACAGTAGATTGCCAAGCAAGAAGAAGAACACTTCACAACACCGGCCCGTGACCTTTGTTTTTTTGTTTTTGTTTTTTGTTTTTGTTTTTTTTGTAGTCCCCTGTGTTCTCTTGCTGTTGTTGTTGTTCTCTTCCATTCTATGTAGGCATGTGCATTTTGAACTACTTTCAAAAAAAAAATTAAAAAAAACCCCGAAGACTCCCTTGATGTAGGCCAAGGCCTGTGGAGAATCTACTGTCGTGGACATGGAAATCCAATCAGAGGTCAAGCGGCCCCAGTGCGCTGGCCATGCAGCCGTGAGTGAGCAGGCGATCAACATGTGCACTGTGCATGCAACGTTCTGTATGCACTGACGGCGCCGGCTCTGGTCGTTCGACCGGATTTCCATGTCCACGACAGTAAAACTACAAAATACACTGTACATACATTAGTCTCCGGACGCCGACCGTAGCTATCCTCTGACGCGTCATCGTCATCATAGCTCTCGTAACCATACGGATAACCACCATCATCGCCTTCATCATCGTCGTCGTCTTCATCGTCGTCGTCGTCTTCATCGTCGTCGTCTTCATCATCATCATCGTCACCATCCCCAACCTGGTAACCGTCCAGGTTGATAATGGCTGGCTGCACATTCACGGTGGTGGCGCGTGTGTTTGCCCTGTGTTACGACAAGAGAGAGAGAGAGAGAGAGAGAGAGAGAGAGAGAGAGAGATAGAGGGAGGGAGAGAGAGAGAGAGAGAGTTGCCATAAGCCCATTGTGCATTGCCAAATATGGGATGTAGATGAGTAATGCGTGTGAGTGCGCTGTGACCCGGAATGCACTGTTCAGCATTCTGCACACAAACACAACCATACCCAGATGGCCGTGTGGAGTGTCGGCGGTACAAACGAAATCATTGCGCAATTAACCCTTTCACTGTATTTGCGGTACGTACCGCTTTGCTGGTGGAGCGGCCGCGGCGGCCGCTGACTTGGCTTCCTTTAGTTTCTGCACAACACAAGGAAAACAGCACGAATGGAACGATACACGTCTCCACGTTGAGTTCAGACAATGCAAGGAAGACAACACGAGTGGAACAGTACAGTACAGTCGGACCTCGCTTTTCCGGTCCTCGTTTATCCGGATCCCTCGCCATCCGGAAGAAAATCGTTGGCCACCAGTTTACAGCACATGCAATGCTTACAAACAGTATGTGTGTTCAATTATCCGGTTCCCTCGCCTATCCGGATATTTTTGTGGAAAACGGATGTGTGCGGCTAAGCGAGGTCTGACTGTACTGTTGGTCGCCAAAGAACTGGGGAGTCAGCCTCCTAGTCCAGACCGTTCTTATTTTCATGTACCGTAAATTACCGCCAGAGCGCCCCACCATCTCGTCCTTTCGTGGTCGTATTGTGGAGGTGGTCTCCTGCCTGTAGGTCATACAACACGAACTTTGTACACATATTGCACGTTGTGCAGACAATCCGTACCTTCGAGCGGACACGAGCTCCACGCAAAAACCTGCTTAGTGTGACCTTAGTACACTAAGGTTCTCACACCGTACAAACTTCGTTGCATTCTGCCATACGCTATTCTTTTCCCCGGCTGTAAAATCAAGGTGGGGCGCTCTGGCGAGACGGGGGCGCTCCGGCGGTACTTTACGGTACTACAGTCTATGCACAGTCGATTCACCGTGTATACATCGGTATGCGGTGTTTGGCGAGATCCTAGACTGGCCGGCCTTCGGCGCTCCGTTCTTCGGCGCTCTGTTCTTTGGCGCCCGCCAGTACAGTACAGTACATGTGTTCAGACTAAGTTCAAACAGAATACGTCATAATACAGTGCTGCAGGGCGCCGAAGAAGGAACAGCATTGCTTTGCTTTGAGTTCTTTTCAATAATTGTATTGGGTTTTAGTTGCATTTCTATTTATTTTAGAATTGCGATCAACAGAACGAGCTGAACCGACATTTCACAAAGGCTTTTATTGTATTCAAAAAACGAGTGGATACGAAGGCAGTGAAGAAGATGGAAGAAAGAAAAAATGTGATATGGAGAAAATGATGAACAAAAAATCGTACTTCGAACTAGTTTTCGCACAACACTCCTCAGGAAGCTACGTTGTACTAATGAAAAACAATCCAGAAAGATACTAATGGGGAGAAATGGAGTGAGAAGAAACAACACCTATGAAAATGATAATGCTAGCACTAAGGTAATAACAGGAAAAACTGCGAAAGCACTTAACGAACTTGTAAAGACTACTAGTATACTGTGACACAAGATATGACACCATGGCCAACCAGGGCCAAACAGACAGAACAAGCTGCTACTAGAACAATTTCAAACGAATAATGCTGTCCTTCTGGACACACAGATTAGGCTTATGAATACGTTGACAAACAGCTTCTAACACACTCATATCTTGTGTCACAGTATACTAGTAGTATTTACAAGTTTGTTAAGTGCTTTCGCAGTTTTTCCTGTTATTACCTTAGTGCTAGGATTATCATTTTCATAGGTGTTGTTTCTTCTCACTCCATTTCTCCCCATTAGTATCTTTCTGGATTGTTTTTCATTAGTACAACGTAGCTTCCTGAGGAGTGTTGTGCGAAAACTAGTTCGAAGTACGATTTTTTGTTCATCATTTTCTCCATATCACATTTTTTCTTTCTTCCATCTTCTTCACTGCCTTCGTATCCACTCGTTTTTTGAATACAATAAAAGCCTTTGTGAAATGTCGGTTCAGCTCGTTCTGTTGATCGCAATTCTAAAACTATTGTCGCCTCGACGCCTATTTACATATTTCAGATTGAGGTACACACAAAATCAGATAGATTTGCTGAATGCTGTGCTGAGGAAACGTTTCTACTGCCGTAATGTCGCGTATAACGTTTCGTTTCTGACACGGTGTCTGAACACTGGTGTCTGTCCCTGTGGTGTTCAGAAACGCGTTCAGAAGACCAAGGCCTATCATTCCTTATCAATAGAGAGAGTATTTCTCAAAGATGATATTGCCAGGTCGCGTGACTCTTTGTCCAATGCCCGCGTCCAGTTTAAGTACTTATATGACCGTGCGCGTTCGTTTTTGTCTGCCCATGACTTCCTACGCTTCTCGCTGCTCTTATCCGAAAACGATGATAGACAACGGATACGACTGATCGCTAAGTATGACAAGACCTTCACCTGGCTTCGAAAGAAAAGATATGGCCAGGTTACCTTCAATCCAAACAGCATCATCAACATGTCAGCCTTGGAATTGACTGATGTGCAAAAAGAACTCCTTTCCCGCGGAACAGACTTCGGAATTCCGCCTTCTTGTAACAACAAAGAAATCGTCATGACAGAATTTGAACTGTTTTACAGGAAACTATTATGCTTTTCGCCGATTTCCGAGGCTCAACAGTCGGTGTGCGCAGCTAAACTTAGAGCAGAGGCTGAAGAGCATTCCGAACAATTACCAGACCGAAGTTCTTTCTCATTATCTCGCGAGCATCTCAAAGCCCGTAAAGAATTGCGAGCGAATAAGGACATCATCATAACCAGACCTGACAAAGGTCGTGCTACAGTCATTATGAACAAAGCTGACTATGTTGACAAAATGATTGTCATCCTTGCATGCTGATACATCTAAATTCCAAGCAATTGGCCCAGTAGGACAGTTTGACAGAACCTTGAAAGTAGAGCCAGAGTTAATCAATTACCTAAAGAAACTAAAAGCCGACAAGAGTATCTCTACACATGAATTTGACTTGATGAAGCCGGTCGGATCACTACGTCCTCGCCTTTATGGTTTACCAAAAATACATAAGCCTACATGTCCTGTCCGGCCAATCGTCTCCATGACAGCTTCCCCACAGTATTCAATCTCTAAGTGGTTGTGTAGGTTGTTGAAAGTTGTTGAGGAGCACTACTGCCGACACACTGTCAAAGATAGTTTCGATTTCGTAGAGAAGCTACGGGCCCGACCTGTTCCAACTCACTCACATATGTGTTCGTTCGATGTAGTGAGTTTGTTCACAAACGTACCGCTGGAGGAGACAATTGATATTTGCGCGGATGTGTTGTACCGTGTTGACGAAGTTGACACTCCGTGGCTACCTGAATGTGCTTTTCGACGTTTGATGTTGTTAGTCACAACTGGCGTCGAGTTTTCGTTCAATGACGTGATGTATAAGCAGATAGATGGAGTAGCCATGGGCTCTCCGTTGGGTCCCGTGTTAGCTAATGTCTTTGTCAGTTACTGTGAGTGCAAGATTGATGCGTCTCTATGGCCGAGTCTTTATTTCCGTTTCGTTGATGACTCTTTCACATACTTTGATTCCATAGAAGACAGCGAAGTCTTTCTTGGTGCTCTCAACAGCCTTCACCCTTCCCTCCGCTTCACATGTGAGCACGAGCAGTCCAGCAAGTTATCCTTCCTCGACGTACTTGTTGAGAAAACCGAATTTGGTAGCGTAACATCGGTGTATCGTAAACCGACATTCACCGGACAATACATTTCCTATGACTCGTACTGTTCGTCTAATTATAAAGTCAACTTAGTAAAGAATCTTGTGGATCGCGCCAAACGGATCTGTTCACCTTGTAAACTCAGTGGTGAGCTCGAATTTCTCCGTTCAGTTTTCACCAAAAACGGATACCCAGGCGACATGTTGGCAAAACTGTTGTCTACAGCCCCCACGCCGAAACATGAATTGATAGGGCCTGCTCGTTGTCCTGTCTTTTTGTGCTTACCATGGAAGGGAAAGAAGTCTGACAATGTGAGTCGTGAAGTTCGTGCGATCATCAAACAAACCTACTATGCGGTACACTTCATACCCGTCTACACAACGATGCGTTCGTTCACGGTGTTGAAGGACGTCCTACCAACCCATCATTTAAGTCATGTAATCTACAACTTTGAATGCCGGAATTGTGCTAGCCGGTATGTTGGTAGGACTGTTCAGCACCTGAGCGAACGCATCAAGCAACACACTCCTTTACACATTATCCCACGTAGCGCACAACTGGAGCGTCCCACGCGGGGAAGACCCCGTAAACAACCACTACCTCCGCCAACACAGGACCTAGCGTCCCACTCGGCAAGTCCACCACTGGCTCCCGTGGCCATGACCAAGTCACTCCCTCCACCAGCGGAGGTGGATGTGGCTTTGGCGACGCCACGTGTGTTGCATGCAGACACGTTTGCGTCATCATCGCTTGCTGCATCACCGGCAGAGACGACAACAATACCTACCTCAATATCAACGAGACCCAGAAGAACAACTGCGAATTACACCATGACCTATTTCAGTACGGAAGTACAGAGCCAACGGAATGCACAACAGGAGCGTGAGACAAGGGATGGGAGGAGACGGGACCTGATTGCTCCAAGGCAGGACGTCGTTGAGGAGGATTCGGCCAGTGAGTCCGGTGAGTGTGAGAGCGAGAATGATTGTGTGAGTAAGAGTGGGTGCGAGCGTGTGTTTTCTAGTAGGAAGTCATCAGTGTATAAGCATCTTGTATCTCGTCCTGATTGCTGCAAGGTGTATTCTGATTCTTCTTTTTCTGTTTTGTGCCGTGCTCGTCATGGTTATAAGTTGCAGTTGAGTGTGTTAGAAGCTGTTTGTCAACGTATTCATAAGCCTAATCTGTGTGTCCAGAAGGACAGCATTATTCGTTTGAAATTGTTCTAGTAGCAGCTTGTTCTGTCTGTTTGGCCCTGGTTGGCCATGGTGTCATATCTTGTGTCACAGTATACTAGTAGTCTTTACAAGTTCGTTAAGTGCTTTCGCAGTTTTTCCTGTTATTACCTTAGTGCTAGCATTATCATTTTCATAGGTGTTGTTTCTTCTCACTCCATTTCTCCCCATTAGTATCTTTCTGGATTGTTTTTCATTAGTACAACGTAGCTTCCTGAGGAGTGTTGTGCGAAAACTAGTTCGAAGTACGATTTTTTGTTCATCATTTTCTCCATATCACATTTTTTCTTTCTTCCATCTTCTTCACTGCCTTCGTATCCACTCGTTTTTTGAATACAATAAAAGCCTTTGTGAAATGTCGGTTCAGCTCGTTCTGTTGATCGCAATTCTAAAACTATTGTCGCCTCGACGCCTATTTACATATTTCTATTTATTGATAATGATAATGATGGTATTTTCGCCCGTACAAGAGCCTTGTAATACATGTTTTAGAAGAAGGAACGGGCTAGGAATTCACTGAGCAGTGAGCACATTTAAAAAATTCAAGGTTTGCTTGAGACTCAGTAAGACTGAGTTGTCAGCATCCATAGGAACCCCACCACCCTGCAAAGATCTAAGGCGCAGATGCAGCTCCTAAAGCTGTGGGAGGTGAGTAGATCAGCTCACCAGCAAAGTGGTCAAATGGACCAAAAATCCCAGGGAGCACAGTCATGCATATCGCTATTCAACTAGAGCAAAACCTGTAACTAAAGACCACCGTGACTAGCGAGCAGCCTGGTGCTACAGACCACTTCGCAAGGCACGGACGGTCTCACATTCACTATGGTTGTGCGGTGCAAACCTCTAACTAAGGACCACCTGCCACGAAAGACCGCTTTCTCTGGCCCCAAGGGGTGGTCGTTAGTCACAGGTTTTACTGGACATACACACACAGAGTATGATAGGGGTACAGTGCTGCCGGTGCTCAAAACAAACGCGCATGTGCACAGACAGACAAGCGAACCAAGTCTGATCTCCGGGAGACAAACCTTTAGCCGTGCCTCCCGGTCAGCTTTCTCATCCTCAGGAAGAGTCTCGGCAAAGCAGTCAATGGCATTGTCGAGCACCTAAGCAGAAAGAGAGAGAGAGAGAGAGAGAGAGAGAGAGAGAGAGAGAGAGAGAGACAGGCAGACAGAGAGACTGTTGGATAGTGGTTTCGAGTTGTTCTCTAGTGACATAATATCAGACTGCTGAATATCACAGTGCTCTACATCAGACAGTAATGCAACTCGTGTTCTGTAACCCCAAAAATTCGAATAATCGATTATTCGTTACTTTATTACTGTTTACCATTGTTCGAATACTGGTGGCCAACGAGGCAGGAGCACGGCACATTGGACAAGTCTTGTTTTTCCTGAAACAGACAGACATGCACGTGCGCGCACACACACACAAACAAGCAGACAGACAGACAGGCACGCAACATCAACACCCACTTCAGAGCGGCCACCACCAACAGAACCCCCCACAGGGTGCCCGGTAGACCGAGATGGCCGTAATGTCGAGGTCCGGATAAAGGAGATTTTTGCATTGTATTTTTTTGGGCATTCCCAACAGACCCTAAGGTCTTCTTACAGGGTGCCCTATGAGTGTAAAAGCAACTACGGCCATCGGCCGGAATGCAGTGGGCACACAGGTCCACGACGGTCGCCATGGATACGCATGCACGTACAGCTCAGCAGTGCACGCGTGAACTCTTGAATGGCACTTGAGGTGATCAGCGTCAGGAGCACACAAACAAGAGTGTGCAATGCCACTGCTGCTTCTACCTTCCGTGTTGATATCAACATTTTCATCGACTTTCAGTCATCACATACAACTTCATTACGCTATTTTGTAGCTCAAACGTTCAACGTCTGTTTCGCGAGTACTGTTCACCGCTCTCCACGTCGCCTATCCACAAACAACTTTGTACAAGATCTGCACCTTTCTTCAACAAATCACAAGGTCAGAGAAGGGACAAGGCTTGCAAGTAAGTATACACGCTACTTACTTCAGCCAGCTCTCGATGCACGTCCAGCAGAATGTGTGAGAGCACTTGAGTACGGTGGACTGTACCATCAACTCCTGACAGACACAGCACATGAACTGCTTGTTCATGTTATCCACCCAGCCAGGCATGGCAGCTGACAGCAAGATAAACGCACACAGACACGCGCGCACACACACACACAGACACATACACACATATGCGCGCACACACACACACACAGACACATACACACATATGCGCGCACACACGCACGCCCACACAAGTGCGCGCGCACACACACACACACAAACACACACACATAGACAAAACACAATAACTGCTTGTTTACGTTATCGACCTAGCCCGCCATGGCAGCTGACAACAGGATAAATACACATGCACACACGCGCGCGCACACACACGCACACACACACACACACACACACACACACACACACACACAACACATTAACTGTTTGTCGATGTTATCGACCCAGCCCATTATCGCAGCTGGCAACAAGATAACACACACATGCATACAGATACGGCGCATGAACAGTCAACCCACTCCCGCATGGCAGCACACACAAACACAACACACTCACACCTTCTTTTATCATAATTCAAAATTAATCTTCGACCTGACACATTACATCATCCCAGGGTTCTTACCCACTGGTGGTGCTGCTGCTGCGGCAGCTGCCGGCGTTGTCGAGGCAACTGCAGCAGCTGCTGGTGTCGCCGTAGCAACTGCTGATGCCGCCGAGGCAGCTGCTGGGGCAACTGAAGCAACCGTTGACATTGCCGGGGCAACTGAAGCAGCTGCTGACGTTGCCGAGGTGACTGCTACAGAGTGTGCCGTCGCACGCGCAGTGCTACCAGGATTCACAAGAACAACATCGTCGTCGTCGTCAGCATCACTGCCCTCGCCTACAACAATGACATTATTAGCCGCTTGAACGTTACCAACACGGGCACTGGCGGTGGAGGCAGAGGTAACGACAACATCTGAGCCATCAACCTGCATCTCTCCAGCAGCATCCTTGTGATCACACACAGGGCACCAGACACAGAACGAGTACAGGACAGTGTGAAGTATATACTGGGCAGGGGAGGGGGACAGAGAGAGAGAGAGAGAGAGAGAGAGAGAGAGAGAGAAAGAGAGAGAGAGAGAGAGAGAGAGAGAGAGAGAGAGAGAGAGAGAGAGAGAGAGAGAGAGAGAGAGAGAGAGAGAGAGAGAGAGAGAGAGAGAGAGAGAGAGAGAGAGAGAGAGAGAGAGAGGGGGAGAGGGAGAGGGAGAGGGAGAGAGAGAGAGAGAGAGAGAGAGAGAGAGAGAGAGAGAGAGAGAGAGAGAGAGAGAGAGAGAGAAGCATGCAAACATGCAGGTGAGCTGGCTACCCCCCCCCCCCCCCCTCCAGTTTTCTCTTAAAAGCAAATGAAACTTTTGCCAGATAGCTGCCCAATCGGTCAAGACAGCTGCAGCCTACTAGTACACCTGCTGGTAATCAGTGTAGCGAGCACGTTGTTTCAGCGAAAGAAAAAACCAGATGCACTCGTCCGCCCCCCTCCACACACACACACACACACACACACACACACACACACACACACACACACACACACACACATGCGCACACAAGAATGCGTGCTCACCTCGTGCGGTCGCTTCACTGCAGCAGACCGCGGTATGCGAAGCGGCGACAGAGACCCCGTGCATTCAACACCACTCGTCGCCGCAGTTGTCGTGCCTGGAGCAGCCAGACGTCGACCATCGCCACCACTAGCACTCACGGACTCCACAGCAGAGCCGTGGGACGCCGTCGCTCCAACGGCTGGAACGCCAGCCGGCGGACGGTTTCGTTGCAAAGCTGCCGATTCATCAGGCCGTATAGTCTGCACGCCTGCGAACAAGGCGCCGGACTGCGACTCCTCACGCGGCGGCGACGACTGCGACTGGGAGGAAACGGGCCGGTCAACGGACACGACAAGCTCGTCAGTGCCGCCGCTCGCTAGCGCCGCGGGAAATGCCACTGCCGCCGCAGTGCCAGTGTGCTCAGTCACCGTCAGCTCCGCAGCCACGGCAAGCAAGGTGGGATCTCTCCCCGGCGACACGGTGGTCGCCGCAGCAACTTGAGTAGTCGACGGCCGAGGCCCGGCGGCAGCAACAGCTGTTGCTGAAGCAATCCCGGCGTGTGCACTAGATGCGGCCCGAGCCGCGGCGTCCGGAGTCGCCGCGCTGTCGACTTGCTCTCGACTGACGGCCGTCAATGTTGCCGACGTGGGGCTGGCTGTTGTGGATGTCAACGATCTGCTAGTGCCAGTGGTGCGCGCACCGACGCACTGGCTGTACTGCGATGCTCTCGATGAAACAGCGGCGTTGCTGCACACGCGGGCAACGCTAGCGACGGCTGACGGCAGCCCGCCTGGATCGGCGGGACTGGCGTGCACGCCCTCGCCGACATCCGCGGCCGCTGATCTCGCCCCGGATGCTGTGGTAGCCGTCGTGCAGCTGCTGCCAGCCTGGGCAGCTGCATCAGTTCCTCCGCATGACGTCACCGATGACGCAATGAACTCGTACACCAGCTCCGACAAAGATTTGTCGCCTCCGAAGACCACCTCGTCGCCGTGGCGCAGGCGGACGGGAGTTTTCACGAGCACCCCGTTCACCGCCACACCATTCATACCAATACTAGTGAGGGTGAACACACTTTCCTCCTCGCCGGTAATGTGAGCGTGTAGTCGGGATATCAGCTGCGGCTTCAGGCTGTCCAAACACACATCATTGTTTCGTCGACGACCAAAGGTGGTAGTCTTGCCACGGGCCAACAGAATCTCTTCTGGATGGGTAGCCAGGTCGTAGCGCAAGCCACGATCATTCTTGAAGCGCAACATCGAAGCGAGACTCAAGTCCCATATCAGATCGTGCCTAGTTATCAAAATACTCAATTGATATACATATGTACAACGTCAAGTTTCTCAAATCAAAAAAGTCTGCACATGTGTCTCGTCTCGCTCTCGTCTCGACTCGTCAGCACAACACAAACGACGATCGCGGGATCGATCGATCTCACACTGCGCTGCAGTCATCAAAAATTACGCGGGAACATTTTGACCGCGCAACCAACCATGGCAACAACAATACAAGATGGCGGCTAAATAATGACTCATACACGAACGACGTACACGAACGTACATGAATGATCTGCCATGCCCGACTGGGCCGACATGCCGTACAACGAGGTTTGTACAAGTACGACATACCAAGGCCATGTTCCACTTTTTGTTTGACTTTGAGTTTGGACTTTCACTTTGTTTGACTTTGATGTAACTTTTGTTACTGCTTGAGACTTCAAGGGAATACAATGGTGTTGTGAGAGGAGAGCTGCTTGAGCGCGCCCAGTCGTCAGCGAGCTCTCTTTTAGGAGGAAGTCCTTTGCGTTTCTCCTTTCCTATGGGCCTCAGTGCGGGAGCGGTACCTATGGCGCCGATACAGCCTCGCCACGGTGCGAGAAACCCGTCTGAGAGTATTTCCAGAAGTAATACTAATAGTTTGTGTGCGAAACTTTCATAGCACTCACTCGACCCTAGTATTGGGTCACCGAAATCACTTGCAAGCTAGCAGAGTGCCGCTGTGCTTCAGGCAGAAAGGATGAGTTCAGCTGGGAGTAGCAGGGCACGCACAGGTGGCGGAGCTTGGAACGAACGCAGGTCCGAGTCAGGTAACAAACGTGTGGCTGTCGGTCACCACCAACAGCAGCGTCAACAGCAGCACCAGCAGGCGTTTCCACCTGCCAACAGTGGACCAAAGCAGCAGCAGCAGCAACAGCAGACAATATTGCGAGCGGAGCGTTCTCACAGGACTGAAAATTCTCGGTCTGCTCCAGCCTCGACGTCACCACACGCGGACAGACTGTACAGGTAGGAACAATGCTCGTATCATTCTCAATCTGGTACATAATGTACTATGCTTCCTGTACGCGTGTTTACAGAGTCATTCAATTACCTCACCTCACTATCAGTATAGTATTTTGCAGTTTAGTCTGATATTCTCGTTCAGCGTGTACTTAAAGGGGAAGTATACCCTAAAATCAAACTTTCACCAGTTGTAGTCTTCGGGGTGCTGAGTCGAATGGTCTTGGTCCGAGGAAGCTGCGACGCTCCCTTCCTACTTGAATCCCAATCGAACTCGCGCACTTCCACCGAAACTGGGTGACTGCGCCCTACTAGATGGGGATTTGTATGCAAAATGTCACTAAAAGCGCCATTTCGTTCTTATAAAAGCACGGATGACCGCGATTGGCCCATATGTTGTAGTCTTTTGGACGCTGAGTCGACTGGTTTTGGTTCGAAAAGGCTGCGATGCAGCGTTCCTCCTTTATTCCCAATCGAACATGGTTGAACAAGCGGTTACGTGCTCCTGCGTACACCAGTCAGCTGGTCACCGTGCCTGCAGGGTACAACTTACTAGCCTGTTTGACCTTTTTTGGGTGCAGTCCTGTCACTCGAGTTGAACTCGAGTTGAACCTTGGTGTGAAAGTTCTCGCCTGCTGGCGCGGTGACCAGGTGATTTGGGCACCCAGGAGCACGTGACCGCTTGTTCAACCATGTTCGATTGGGAATAAAGGAGGAACGCTGCATCGCAGCCTTTTCGGACCAAAACCAGTCGACTCAGCGTCCAAAAGACTACAACATATGGGCCAATCGCGGTCATCCGTGCTTTTATAAGAACGAAATGGCGCTTTTAGTGACATTTTGCATACAAATCCCCATCTAGTAGGGCGCAGTCACCCAGTTTCGGTGGAAGTGCGCGAGTTCGATTGGGATTCAAGTAGGAAGGGAGCGTCGCAGCTTCCTCGGACCAAGACCATTCGACTCAGCACCCAGAAGACTACAACTGGTGAAAATTTGATTTTAGGGTATACTTCCCCTTTAAAAAAATCTCCTTTTTTGCTGGTGAAATGAGAATCGATGGAATTTTGCGGACTTACTGCAGCCCAGAAATTCGCCGTCCACAGATGACATCAGTTCCAACTGATGCACTCTTCCACAATAGTCTGAGCTTGGCAAATCTTTGCACTGGGAGCAGGGGGTTTTCTGTGTGGGCTTTACACCGCTTTAAATCGCTTTTCACCGCAAAGAAAATACAATGCAGAGTTTGAATCAGAAGTGAGCACCTGGCAAATGGGGGGCTTATGAATGATGGGACACCCAGCACAGCCATATTGAGTTATGTTCTCGGGTGCAGTTTCTCATTGCGAACAAGAGAGCTTGTACTCGAGGCACTGGCTATGCTAGAGCACAGCATATGCGTCTTGTGGCGTTCACGTGGTACACACGAGCAATGCCGGCCCGCGCACACACACAACATACACACGCATGCACACACACACACACACACACACACACCTTGACCTTGACCTTGACCTTGATACACGTTGCATTGATAGGTTACACGGTCCCCGTCAGGGGAGAGGGGTGGAAGAGGCTGAGGAGCAGCACTTCTGATGGCGTACTAGAATAAGATGGTGATGTACACACACACACACACACACACACACACACACACACACACACACACACACACACACACACACACACACACACTACTACTACTACTACTACTACTACTACTACTACTACTACTACTACTACTATGTACAGCTACCCTATCGGGCCACGCCGCTCCCAGAAGCGGGAGACAACGACAAGAAGAGAGAAGAGAAGAGAGAGAAATCGCAAAATCAACAATATTTGGCATGGCGTTGCAAGTCCTGTGGCCTTGAGAACCGTCTTTCGCAATGCTCGCATTCATAACGGCAGTTGTTCCTGGCTGCACGTGACATCTGTTTCGCACGGTCACAGTGATGACGGCTCAAACCAGAACGGGACACACACACACACACACACACGCACACACACACACACGCACACACACACACATGCACACGCCATACCCATACACACACTCACACACGCAGTGCAATGGAACGCTGTATGCCACATGACGCAGGGGCAGGGACTGCCCTCCTTTGTTACCAGGGGAGTCTGCCTGACTGCACTGTGGTATGCCCGGGAGTGAGAGAAATGGCTACGTGAATCTGGTGTCCGTTAAAAACATTGCTGCCGATGTTTCATTGTTTGAATTTTTTTCTCACGACGCTGTTGCTGTTGTGGCTGCTGCTGCTGCTGCTGCTGTTGCTGCTGCTGCTGTTGTTGTTGTTGTTGTTGTTGTTGTTGTTGTTGTTGTTGTTGTTGTTGTTGTTGTTGTAGCCATGCAATGGACGTGGCTGGACGTGCTGACAAATTCATGAGCACGGTGTCGTGCTGCGAGGACCTTTTCAAAGCGGAATTTGTTAGCTTACGTTTTCGGTGAGTCCTCTGTGCTGTGTCGAGCCTTGCCTTGCTTGCTGATGATGTGTTGACTGCAGCTCAGGCCCGGCAGAACCGGTCCAGTTGGTCAGGCCATGGCCGGACCAACTTTTCGGCCACCACCGGCGTGTGTTTGCTGCTGGGGAGGTCATGTGTGTGCCTGCCGTATTATACACAAACTGTAGGAAAGGCTAGGGTATGGCCGGACCAATCAAAAACTGCTTCCACCGGTCCTGCGAAGTTCTATAGCTGTTTGTATAATTTGGCATGTGAACACCATTGTGACATTATGGTTAGGCCCTCTGCAGACTACGCACATAGAACATCCAGTACAAAATCACATAAAACCTAAAAGGCAACATTTTTCCACGCCTGCATTCAGACTACACATTTTACATGCAATATACAGGCAACCTTTGACCCTACGCATTGCGCAATGGGCCTGAGATGTGTGAAAGCAGCCGGCAGTCGTACCAGGGTACAAAGTTTGTACGACTTCCTGGTGAAAGTATGATAAATGCAAGAATGTTGCCTTGTACAAGGGCTCGCACCCTGCCTGAAAGGATTGGGCAGCTTTTTAGGCTTCCCGCCAGATTCTTGTTGTTGTCTTGGAAACTTCTATGTAAATGTGACTTATAGGCTGTTTTGTACCTAGTCTGAAGAGGGCCTTAGGGAGGGACCCCGTGCTCAGTTTAAGAGTTATTATACCCTGTCTAGGTTGCGTCAGCAGTGCGAACAGCTGATCCTGACGTGCCCGACGATGTGAGCCGGTGGTAATGCGGATATGTGAATTGTATTGTGTTTATCCCTTGTTGTTTTTTTCTGCTACGTGTCTGGTCTCTCCCTGTGTGCGGGCGACAGATTGCGTCAGCAGTGCGAGCAGCTGATCCTGACGTGCCCGCCGAAGTGGGCCCGGCCCGCCGAGGACATCCTGTGGAAGAAGACGTTCTACGACGTCATTAGCCGCTGCAAGGCGAAGACGATGGCTCTGCCGCTGCTGGGTGCGTATCGCACGCACTTAATGGCGGCTGCCGGCTATTATCAACAGCTGCTCGCCAAGCTGCTGGAGAGGTTTTCTCTGCTGCAGCTCAGTGGCTTAGTGGACTGGATGGCGCTACCCAAAAATCTACAACACCAGACAGGTAAACTTGTTTCATTTTTTCTCCACGTGAACCACGTGACTAGTTTCGCCAGACCTGGCGCGCTATCCCATACATATACCGTACCGCCAAGAGTCCATAACCCCCCAGAGTGTGCAACTCCAGGTTGGGGTCTGGCGCAACGAAATCCAAACATTGCGTCATCCGGTCCATAGTCAAGCATGGGCGGATGGGGCCATGTGCATATCTGGTACATCCGCTACTCACTACATGACGTATGAAGTTTGGATTTCGTTGCGGCACTGATTTGTGCTGAGAAGGATCACGAGTTGCACACTCTGGGGGGTTATGGACTCTTGGTACCGCCAAAGAGCGCTGGCCACATATTCTAATTGGGGTTTCAGCGGCAGGATTGTAGCGTGAAGCAACTGCTTGGTAAAAATGTGTATGTACGCGAAGTGTATCAAGAAATGCATGCAGTGGATCAGTGCGGGTTTAAATCCCATGTTAGGTGTGGACAAACAATAGGGGAAAATATGCTAGGGCCATGAAGAGGAAGATATGCTAGGGTCATGAAGAGGAAAGTATGCTAGGGCCATAGCGGGAAGTATCTTGGTAGAATATTCGTACCTATGTAGGGAGAGAAAAAAGTTAGAATCATACCGTGAAACAACTTAGGGATCGTCGCAAAGGTGTTTTGTCGTCCCTGAAGCGAACTTCGTTCATTTCGTGCTCGGACTCCTCTCCAAACCGCTAAAATGATCATAGCCTGCTATGCTGGCCGACGCACCTTGCATGCATGGACATGTACATGTACGTTTACATGTACCGTGTCGGTTGACTTGCGATGTTGGCTCACACCCCTCCCCCAGTGAACAATGTTCGTTTCAGGGACAACAAAAACACTTTTACGGCGACCCCTGAAAAAAAGAAAAAGGACAAAAAAAGAAGTTAGGGTCATGTATGAAGCAACACTAGGGCGTCTTTGGTTTGGTATAACCAAGAGTACATAACCCCCCAGAGTGTGCAACTCCCACATACCCTGTTGTCCCGACAGAATTTCAAGTTGACGTCATTATTTATGACGCAATGCTCCTTGCAGCAGTGATTTACAACATGTGTACGGGTGTCAACGCATCACACGTTTTTCTTTGCAATAATTTGTACAGGACCGATCGGCTTCGGTCAACCACAGGTTCCGGATTCGTCTGATAATCCGTGTACAGTGCGCATTGCATCATCAAAATGACGTCAACTTGAAATTCTGTCGGGACAGCACCCATAGTGGAGTTGCACACTCTGGGGGGTTATGTACTCTTGGTATAACCTAGAACGGGATTCACCAGAATAGCACGTTTGGTTGGGACTGCACTGGTTTCCGGATCGGCCAGAGCATGTTCTGCTTGCGACGGCCTCGAGGCTGGAGCAGCCAGAGCAGCTTTCCTTTTTCACAGTAAAACATGGCGGGAGCATCGACTTTGATTCCGAATGATCACACCTGCATACACTTTTGCATTGCACTTGGCATGCACTCACTGTACCGTACAAAGTGACCATGGTGACTCGTATATATTTTGAAGAATGCAACCGAGTTTGGTGCACCTTTCACTTTAAATAATCTACATGTACTCTGCTTCTGGAACACCGTTAGGTTGGCATGAGGCTGCCATGTGCACCAGCTGTTCGGTCCTGTTCTAGACCGTGCCAACCAAATGCGCCCTTAAAAAGATTTTTTTTTTAATTTACAGAAAAGAAAAACGACCAAGGAACTACAAGTTACGCTATTAAGTATAGTGTCCAGTGCTATAAAGCAAAGTTAGGATCATAGTGTGAAAAAAAGCTGTTAGAATTTCCCTCTGCGACGCGTTCAGAGTCTAGATGCTTACAAGTATGTACAGTTTGTGCTCGGTGAAATCTGACCCGCAGTGGATGTTTAGCGCCCTCAACTTGCATGGCCCTAGATGACACCCTGGACGGGTACGAATGCCACTGGGTCATACACATGTACCAAACTACAGTGATGTACTAGTAATTTGGAACTGGTCCAGGGGCAGGGGCCACGGCGTTTGTTGTGCACTTTGGGTCGGGTTTCATTGAGAGCAACTGTCGCAAAAAAAAAAAAAAAAAAAAAAAAAAAAAAAAGTTGAACTTGGATGGTGAGCCAATTTAATTATGGTAGAAAAGGAGGACAAGAGAGCGAGAGAGAGAGCTGCCAGCTCAGGGCCCTCGTTGTGCTTTGTTTTTACCTACATGTACGATGTAGGCCACCATGCGTGTTATTCGCACTGGTAGAAACGTCTTTGAAAGCAAAAGACCCGAAAAATATAAACTAAGATACTGACCATCATCAGTGGAACATCGTCACATAGTAAGAATCACTAAAACAACCAGTTATAATATTATAGCTAGCGTAATATGAAAAGAAGCGTGAGAATGCAGCACAGCTAGCGGTTATGCATAACGCGTGTTGTTTATACATGGTTATGAGTGCACAATTGATATTTTTCATTGCTATTTTACGACTGTTGTCTCCTCGTCGGTTATTTAAGATACTGAGCCAAAGAATATAATTAATATAGAAGAAATCACATGGAAACGAGTAATGAAGCAACTATCCACGACTGTAACAAGATAATAAGCAGTCAGAAGCCATAACAAGCTGGAAGGCTGTTGGTTTGTGCTCTGGAGGTGTGTTAGAGCTAGATCTCGGGTCGTTGAATTGTTCAGTAACATGTCAGTTTTGTGCCCTGTTATCGCACTTTCTGACTTCTTATCTTGTTTCAGTCGTGGATAGTTGCTTCATAACTCGTTTCCATGTGATTTCTTCTATTTAAATGTAAACTACATATTTCAATAACCGACGAGAAGATAATGGCCGTAAAAATAGCGATGAATAAAGAACATGGATGGGTGGGATCTGCAGATTGAGTAAAGGGACGAGATAAAAACTTCACAAAACTAAAAACTGTCCGGGAAAGCGTATGCGCGTACATGCACACACACCACACACACACTGTAGCTGAGTCACTGTAGTTCGGAGATGACGAGGTCCAGTTTCCTGTCTTCAACAACTTGGTTTTGAACACTTGCCGTTCCAATGCTCCCTTCGCTCTCAACGAGGAATGGAACATTCCAGGATCCAAAGCGGACCAGGCAGCGTTTTCTCCTCTCTCTCCATGCTTGGGCAGATTTGTTGAAGCGCTGATGGTCTCTGTCCACTCGGGGATTTGCCAATCCGCCACGAGTGGGAGATTCAGGCGCAACAAAAAGCGGTGCCATCTTTCGACATCCCGTTTTCTTGTTGCGCTGCCCCTGAATCTCTTGCGCTGGGAACTACATGTCCTGGGACGGCCCTGGTAGAGCAGAGTCGCCCCAGAAGACTCGTGGAACTAACTTTTGACAACCGGGAAGGGAGCTCGAAAAATTCAAACACACCCACACCACCACACACACACACACACACACACACACACACACACACACACACACACACACACGCACCTTACAGTGAAAGTCCCGTGTTCCGACTAGTACACACAGTACACACCCACACTCGTGGATGATTCTTGGATATCTGAAAATTTCGTGATACGGGAGAGGGGATGAGCACTGCGGCCTGCAGGCACTGCTTGAGGTGCTGCCTCAGCCCCGGCTTATAGGTCAGTTCCGTGGGCTCTTGGCCATGCAACAAGGAGGCGGCAAAGGCTCTTGGCCGCGCGTCAACGACGCGGAAAATGCAATAGCGTACGGCCCGCAGTCGAAGGCATTCAGCTGCCTCTGAACTGATTCTTATCGAGGTGACACCTCCGACACGAACAAATGCGACATTCTTTTTTGTTACTGACCGGTTTCACTACAAAGTGTAGATCATCAGAGTGAAAAGATTCTTATTGAGGTGACACCTCCGACACAAACAAATGCGACATTCTGCTGCAGAAGTGAATCGTACAGGCCCGTTGTCTTTTCTGGCTGTCCAATGTTGGATATTGTCGCCCAGTGGCACCCGCCGATGTTCACAATCTGGACGAAATGCCGGCTTTGTTAGAGGACTGTGTCCAGAAGCCCGGACACCTCCAGATTTGCTGCCTTCGGCAAGTCGCTTGCCACCTTCATGTGGGTGTCGTTCAGCCATCCAGTATGCTCATGTCAGCAGCTCTCAGGTGACCAGTTGGCGGGAGCACTGCTCTGGCTTTCGAAGCCACAGCAGGCTGTTCGTTAAAGCAACTTCTGCCAGCATGACAGTGCGTGGAGCAGTGAATTTTGTTTGCTCGACAAACACACCGATTACTCTGGCAACCACTCCTACGCCCACGGCGCTTCTTCAGAAACTTGTTCTCTGGGTGAGTGTGCTTGTCAGCTTCTCGGAGGCTTGCACTTTTTGAAGACTGTTGGTTTTCACCTCCTTCGACTAGCCCTGCAGATCTCCTCCAGATAACCTTGTCGCAAGTATGCCAAACGCAATAGCAACAGAGTATGTCCTGCTCTCTGTGCCGTGGATGGAATGCACCACTCCTGCCAACCTGGGAAAGTCCGTGCCAGTTCTGTCCAACTTTGGCACGCCCACAGCCACGGCATCACCGACACGGAAATCTTCCACTTGTACTCTTTTCTTTCTGTTGTAGTACCGGGCCATGCTGTTTGCCGACTTGAGTGTACTCTCGATAGCTTTCCGGCACATGACTTCATGCTGTGAGCGAATCACTGCATAGAGAAAGACAGCAAACAAACATAAACTCCTGCACTTAGACTAACGCAGTAGCAACAGAGTATATGCTGCAGGCTGTGCCGTGGATGGAATGCACCACTCCTGCCAACCCGGGAAAGTCTGTGCCAGTTCTGTCCAACTTTGGCACGCCCACAGCCACGGCATCACCGACACGGAAATCTTCCACTTGTACTCTGTTCTTTCTGTTGTAGTACCGGGCCATGCTGTTTGCCGACTTGAGTGTACTCTCGATAGCTTTCCGGCGCATGACTTCGTGCTGTGAGCGAATCACTGCATAGAGAAAGACAACAAACAAACATAGAATCCTGCATTTAGATTAACGACAAGGGAAATTGTTCAATACCATCATGAAAGCTCATCGCTGGAAGGTAGCGGACTTCACCAGATGGCGAGAGGAGCCCGAATGAAGCACTTCGTCTCTCTCTGTCTCTCTCTTTCTCTCTCTCAATGTGAGTCGTGTTCTGCCATGATCACGGTTTCTGTTTGTTTTTTTTTGCTATATATTCCCAGGTGACGAGGAGAACCATCGTGTGAGCGATGATGTAACACGCTGGGCGGTGTCTGCTGCCCATCGATGTCTTATGTATCTTGGCGACCTTGGTAAGCTCTAAAAAGTCTTGTTTTCGCTCAGTGACTACATCCTTGGGAAGTGCGTACAGTACTCGTAGTGCAAAGTTTGAAATCAATCTGGCAACTAAAATACATATCTGTTGCTTTTCACATGTGGATCTGCAATTGGGAGCGGACAACACCATGGTGATGGTGACATGGATACGCGGTGCAACTTAAGTCATCAATACGTGCCAACCATGACCCCCCCCCGGCCCGACCCGGCCCGGTCTTCAAAGAAGTTCAAACTTCGCAATGTCACAAAGCCCGCCCCGGTATGTGGCCGGGGCGGTGCACGCGTATGCGTACACACACTGGGCTACGTCCCAGTGTGTGTATGCTTGCTGTGGAGTGGTTTCACATCCATCACATGACCACTTGGGACAGCCATGTTGGTTCCAACCCCACTCAACCCCTGCATGTATGGGTCACATGACGTCGGCCATATTGGTTCCACTGCCCAGTGCCCACATGACATGATCACTTTCTGCACAAATTTAGTCACATGACATGATCACTTTCTGCACAAATTTAGTCACATGACAAACTGATGTGAAATCACTCTCTAGCTGGATAGCCTCGGAACTTTACACGCGCCTGGCTATGTGTGTGTGTGTGTGTGTGCTAAATTTCTGTTGAATTTTTCTGCCCGTACCATGCAGCTCGCTATAACTTGGAGTACCAGCCAGGCGTGGAGCTGATAGCGTGTCGCTACTACCATCAATCCATCTGCCTCGATCCGTCGCATGGTTAGTGTAGCCCAGTGTAGCACAGTGGACTGGAAAGCTGAGAGGACTGCAGCAAGAGTACATGAAAACCAGAGTGTATAGCGTGGGGCTTTTTCTACTATGGGTGTCTGTCATGGCGGAATTCCGTGATTATGTCGTATTTGGCGCAGGTCTGAGGCGCGAGTGGCGTAGTGCGTGCAACTGAGCTGCAGTTGTGCAGAAAGAGACCTGCTTGTACGCACTACATCACTTAACTGATGTAATCACGGAATTCCGCTGTGGCAGCAACCCATCCGAGCTGCACACTCTGGTTTTCATGTACTCTTGATTGTAGTGCTGTTACTTAACCTGTATTCATTGCACCTAGTGTATTGTATTGCTTGCGTGACCCAGCTCACTGCACTCATATTTCCCCCGGCCTGTGTATGTCGGTTCAGTGTTGATTGACTTGTTTGTGTGAAAGCAGGGAGTGTGCATGTCAAGTGGGGTGTTGTTGTTTCTTTATTTTACGTCACCATATGAACAGGCTCCTCTCCTCTCACCCAAGCCATTCTGCATAAGCGAAGCTGTGGACCCAGCATACTGCTGCTACACTTCAACGCGGGAATGCGTATAATAATAATAATAATAATATGAACAGGCAAGACTGCCTTCTCACCGGGGCTATTGGCCCACGGCTCTCACAATATGATGAAAATGGGTGGTGCTGGAAAGATTCTCTGCACAGCTAGTTGTGGTGTGGCATTGTCCGTACCTGCGCAAGGAGTTGCTTTTGATTGGGTGTGTGGGTGTGTGCGTGCGTGTGTGTGTGCGTGTGCGTGTGTGAGCTTGTGAGGTGCGGCTGTGTCTTTCTGTCTGTATCTGAATCTGTGCGTGCGTCTGGTTTCTGTGCTGCCCGTGTGTACCACAGGTAAGCCTCACAATCAGCTTGCTACCATTGCGCTGACTCAGAAGAACTACTGCAAAGCAGCTTTCCACTACGTCATGGGGTGAGGCCAGCATTGCTGTGGACACTTGAGCAGTATTAGTTCATAGGACTAGAATTTATTGTGACCATGTTTATATATGTGTATGTCCATGGGTGTCTGTCTGGGGGGGGGGGAGACAGACAGAGAGAGAGAGACAGAGAGAGAGAGACAGAGAGAGAGACAGAGACAGAGAGAGAGAGAGAGAGAGAGAGACACACACACACACACACACACACACACACACACACACACACACACACACACACACACACACACACACACACACACAGAGGGAGAGAGGGAGAGAGGGACTAATAGAAATTTCTATATGTGTATGTGTGTGTGTGCATTGTGTATGTGTGTGTGTGTGTGTGTGCATTGTGTATGAGTACAGACTAGCATGTGGCATGCCGTTTCCTGGAATGGAGAAGAACCTGGATAGCCTCTATCGCACCATGGCCAGTGTTTCCAAGGACCTTAATGAACAGATGGCGGGTGGTGTGGCTGAAAGCCAGGCCCTGTCATTCATCCAGCGTCGCTTTGTGTGCCGGTTTCTCGCTATCCAAGAGATGCTAGGTTTGCCAGCTTCAAAGTAAGTTTGGGGATGGCCTGTGCGTACTTTCCCCGGGGGGGGGGGGGGGGGGGGGGGGGGGCAATGGAGGGTTTAGTTTCAGGCGCATGAATGTGTGTGTGCACGTGCGTCCGAGATGGGTGGGAGCATGGGCTGTTGCGTGGCTTATAGTATAGCTGTTGAAGTGAGCTTACTTTTTTGATTTCGTTGTTGTTTCACACACACATGCAGACATACATACGTACACTCACGCACGCACGCACACAGAGTATGTGAATACCTGCTTGCTTCTCTCATCTCTACTGGTCCGGTATGCTTTCTATGCAGCATCCAGCCTGGCGACCTCACACTCGTCATCCGACAAGCTTTGGAAGACTTTGAAGAGTGGCTACGTCTGCTCCCAACTGGAGAGTCCGCTCCTGCCGCACGCAGTGAGAGCTGCGGTGGCTGTCTTGAAGATTTGCTTGTCGTCTTTAGCGCAGCTGATGCCGCGCTGTTGCGCGATGCCGGAGACATGTCACTGTGCGTCATTGCCATGGCTATCATGATGGCGCAGAGACTGCGACAGGCTGGTGAGTGCAGGGGATTTCCCCGCGCATGTGTGTGTGTTGTGGGGGGTATGTGTGAAGGCGCTATAGCGATCATGATGGCGAGAGACTGCGACAGGCTGGTGAGTGCAGGGGATTTCCCCCGCAAGTGTCTGTAACAAAAGAAATGTGCCGGGGAGGGGGGGGGGGGGGGGATGTGTGAAGGGGCCATGGTAATCATTATGGCGCAGCGACTGCGACAGGCTGGTGAGTGCAGGGGATTTCCCCCGAGCATGTACTGTTATAAGTGTCTGGTACAGTGAAACCAGTCTTAGCCGACGACCGCTCAACGCACCTTACACATGTGCTCCCCGTGTACAGGCGGTCTCCTTATCCACTGGTCATTTGACTGGAAATAACATCCATCGGTCCTGGTTGTAGTGGTGGTCTTCTGGTACAGGTGGTTGCCTTGTCCAAGTGGTCGCCTTGACAGGGTTTTCCCGTATTAGCCTCCACTGTACTGCAGCTCCTTAGGTGTCCTTGGGTGGGAACACAGCTCTAAAATGAAGTCCAAGCATTTCTTCTTCTTTTTGTCTGAGCTCATTTGGGATAGTCCCAAGATGTTTGGATGTATGTAGCTGACTCGAGACGACTGAACTAGAAAGTGTGTCGTTTGTAGGGTTGAAAGGATCTCACCGGGTACTCGTTAGCTAGCTCGCCGGAAACTTGGCTCGTTTGCGCGGCGAGCTCATTTGCACTAGCAAACGTGTATACGGTACGACACATGTTACAGTACAGTCAGTGCATTTAGGGCCGGGTTCCACTGCGGCTCCGCTGCACCGCGGCACTTGGCTGCATGCAGCGGAGCAGCGCGGTTCCACTGACACTCGCCATTCGCGGTACCGCGGCTGTGCTCCACTTGATGACGTTTTACCAGCCTACCCGCGCGAAATCGTCATCTGGCCTGCGCAACGCATTAAAATTTGAATTTTAAAATTCTTGCGTACAAAACAACGCAAAGTACGGGAAACAGGTCGAGCCGCGGCTCGCAATTTTTGGTCAAGAATCGTAGCAAAAGCTCGCGGTGAGCCGCGGACTCGCTGCTCCAGCTCGAGCCGCGGTCACTATGGTAATGATGACGTTTCAAGCCGCGAAAGACGAGCAGCGGAGCCGCAGTGGAACCCCGCCCTTAGTGAACTCTCCGTTCGAGTGAAAGTTTGGAAGTTTTTTTTCCGAATCACTTGCGCCAACTAGCTCGACTCGGTCGGTATCAGTTTGGGCTACTATTCACTCAGCTTGACCTATGCCACTGCGTGTGTGCACGTGTGTCTGTCTGCCTGTCTGTGCCCGTGCGCATGCATGTGTGTGTGTGTGTGTGTGCTCCTATGTTCTTATATGCCTGTGCGCTGTGCAGGTTCGTCCTACACGCGTCAAGTCACCACCTTCACCCTCTCGCTGCTTGCCCACCTGGTCGAGTTCTGCTCCGAGTCCCTGCGCACCAGTGTTCTACTCAGCAATGAATCTCCACCGTCATCGCCCTCTTTTTCGCCGCTGAACGCAGCCACCAGCTCCGAGCTGAGTCCGTCAGCATCCACAGTGCTGCAGCATGGATCGTTCTCTGGCCTGTTCATTCAGGCGGGCAACTGCTTTGCCCCGACGCCCGACGACTTCCTCAACGGCGTCGGTGGCGGCAGCAGCAGCAGCCAAGCGAGCAGAACGACTGGCTTGCAGTTTGGCTCCAGTGCGGCTACTCCTGCTGCCGGTACTGCTGCTGGCAGTGGTGGCGGAATGATGAGCCTGGATCAGGCCATATCGGAGGCGGTGCTCGACTCGCGCCGTTCGGCCGAGATAGACGCGCGCGCCATGCACAACGGTGGATCCGGCGCTGGTACCGGCGCCGGCAGCAGCCGCCATCGCTTGCCTCGTCGTCGCCGACGACCGTTACGCCGACGCAGCCGCCCGCCACACGAGCACAACTCGTCGTCGGACGACGAGGAAGACTCCGACAGCAGCTCGTCAGAGCTCGACTCGTACAACTCTAGCAGCGAGATGGCCAGCGATGACGAGGACAGCGATGAGAACACGCAACTGAACGACAGCGGTGCTGAAGACCATACCTTCCTCAACGGCTCCATCGACGACGACAGCGAAGGAGGTTACGCCGGTAGCAGCGGGCTTGAGCACACCGAGGGCGACGGCGAAGACGAGGGCGAGGGGTCGGAACTCGAGCCCAGGCGTCGCGTGTCGGCGAGCAGTGCCGGCAACCATGGCGATGGACAGCGCAGCCGACTAAGCAGCGCCGGTGGCAGGCCCATGCGTCCCATTGGCGACGAACTGGCCACCAAGTCCAATAGTACAGCTGCTGATACCGATGGTAAGGCGCGTGATCAACATTGCTACACAGCATGGTTTGAAATCTTCTCCAGTCTCCAGTACAGTACTGTACTGTCAGGCACTGAAGAGCTGGGGGTGGGGGGTCAGCCTCGTAGCCTAGAACGGTCTTATCATCTTATTATCATGTAGTACAGTCTATGCACAGCTAGAGTCACCGTGCGTACGTTGGTATGCTGTGCTTGGTGATATTCTAGCCTGTTAGTTCTTTGGCGTTCCGTTCTTCGGCGCTCCCGACTGTACTGTGCCCCGTTACACAGCAAGTGACTTGCACTGCTGAACACAGTGCCATGCGAACACCCAATGGTGACTTAATCATACATGTATAACCTCTAATTTATGGTGTACTGTGCTGGCACAAGCGAAACTTCTCTAAGCTGCTTGTGTTTCTCAACACATTTGTACAATAAATATTATTCGCGGGATCCGCGTCCGCACCGCTTGAATGTTCAGAAACACACAAACTAGCCTTCACACACAATATGCCCTTTGCGCAATAGCGTAATTTCAACTACTTTGTACCTCCTGCACCTGGGCATGGTCGTCTTGAGTGTTGAACAGTTCATTCCTGATCCCAGCGTACTCGCGTGCATTGCTCGTGCAATCCTTATTTGGCAATACGCAAAGGGCTTGTTGTATAGCCGGTGATAACGCGACTGTGCGTTTCTTTGTGTATCTTGTGCTGCGTGCAGGTGCCAGTAGCCAATCGGCGTCGGACCTGGTGGTGTCGCCCGTGTCAATAGTGCACGCCGCTGCCAGCTTGGATATGCTGATGGCTGTGCACGTCGCCTTCGACTGGCTCTGTATCAACCCGGCGTTCGTTGCCTCCTTTGCTAAGGTGAGTGCATCCTTAGAAATTTCTTTTAGAATTGTCCAGTAGTGCTATGTAACTCGGTGAGGTTTCATGGTGTGGCTAGACGAGGCCTGGTGTGTGGGTGGATGTGAACCCTGGTGGCCTAGTCTATACGTAGGGGACACCGTCGTGAAAATGCGGGGCTGGTTCAAATCTCGCCTGTGTATCCTTCTTTTGAAACAGTGGAAAGGCTTGTTGGTGTGTGCTGGAACTGGAAGAAGACCAGTGCTGCCTTTTGCTTGGAAGTACCTCATTCTCTTCTCCTGCCGGCAATTGATCATTACGGCGATTAGTAGCGCTTTTTGATCTGCCACCGCCTCTGCAAGTTGATTGACGCAGCTGCTTTGTTTGGCATAATGTGTGTTGTGTTGTTGCGTCTGCGATCAGACTGAGGACAAGCTGTGGTGTGCAGTCACCAAGCTATTGAACTTCCTGCCGCGTCAACAACGACTTGACAAAGCTGGTATGTAGCACTATCCTTTTCTCTGTTCTCTCTCTATCTCTCTCTCTATCTATCTATCTATCTATGTATCTATCTCTTTCTCTCTCTCTCTATCTATGTATCTATCTATCTCTCTCTCTATCTCTCTCTCTCTCTCTCTCTCTATCTATCTATCTATGTATCTCTCTCTCTCTATCTCTATCTATCTATCTATCTCTTTTCTCTCTCTCTCTATCTATCTCTCTCTCTCTCTATCTATGTCTCTCTCTCTCTCTCTCTCTCTCTCTCTCTCTCTCTCTCTCTCTCTCTCTCTCTCTCTCTCTCTCTCTATCTATTTATCTATCTATCTATCTATCTATCTATGTAACGCTCCTTTGTATGTATTTATCTATCTATCTCTATCCATCATTTATCTGCCGATTCCTTGCCTCCATTACCTTCCATCAGTTGTAGGCTATCTTCTGTTGCCTTCGGTGGAGAGCTTGCGCCTAAAAGAGAATTCACCAAAATTTATTATCTCCCTTTTTTTCTCTTTTCTCACTGCAGCTGCACGTCTGCACATCAATGATGCTGCAGAGCTGTTTTCGTCTCGCCATCCTCTGCCCGAGGACGTCACGTTGTTGGGCTTCTCACCGCTGGCTGGCATCCAGGAACGCTACGACTTTGACTGGGCCAACTACACCGGCGTGCTGGGCTCTGGCAGGGAGATAATGCTGCGCTTGCATCGCATGCAGGAGTTTGGGCAAGTCATGGCGGAGAACAAGGTGTGTGCACTGGTTAATCCGCCTGTTGCTTTGTTGTATCGAGTCTTTGTTGCCTGACCGTATTCTGTATTCTGTACACCGCTTTTGAGCAGTGTTCCTAGCGGTGGAAATGCAGACTCGGCAGTGTTTCTGACCACTTTATAATCTGTCTGTCTTTCTCTCTGTCTGTGTCTCTCTCTGCATATCTCTTTATCTATGTCTGGTCCTCTAGCTCTCTCACTCTCTCTCTCTCTCTCTCTCTCTCTCTCTCTCTCTCTCTCTCTCTCTCTCTCTTTCTCCCTCGCTCTCTCTGTGTATTCTCTTATGTTGTGAGTGATGTCCTCACAATTTTCCCATTGCTCTGTGCGCTTCTGCTGGTGCCTCTTGCTGTAGGTCTTGTCAACGTTTCAGCTGAGCCCTGATAAGCAGTCATTCCTAGGACCAGATGAGCTGGCTGCCTCCATCAAGGAGAACGAGCTGGAGCAGAAGGCGGTGGAAGAGGCCGAGGTGAGTAGGACTGAGTAATCGGGGCGGATCTAGAGATCTCTACAGGGGGGGGGGGGGGGATGGCTGTTACATGCACATGCATACGGTTTCCAGTAGTACCTTTGCAAAATTAGGGGGTTCTACCCCCCCCCTGTGCACTCCATGCATAGCGTACTTTGAGTGACGACATGTTTTCCATTCGGATCCTCTCTCTTCCATATGTAGCGTCCTATGATAACGTTTGTGTTATGACAGCTGCCAATCACTGGAGAACATTCTGGCATGTGCTGGCACATAGTTAGGGATGTCAGCGAACGCATTGCGCAGGTCTCTGCGCATGCATTGCGTCATCGATTTTTTGAACGTGATCGCGGCCGACAGAGAAAACATGGCCGCGGTCTGTTTGCACCCTGGGAGTCGTAAAATTACTGTTCTTCTGTCTCCGCGACCATTCAAATCATACGCGATACGGAGGACCCACGTACTCACCACGTTCTCTCCTGGTCGATTTCTCTGAAAGTTGCACATCGTGAAACACCAGTATGAGAGGTGTTCAGGCCAATTTTCAAGGGATTACCCTGGTTGGATCGTTCAAAAATCGGACTTGCATTTCTCGCTCGCGGCCATTTCTTGCGCGATGGAAGCGCCCTGCCCTGGTGAGTAACCAGCTTGGTAGAGAGTTGCTGCAATCAGCTCCCTGATGTCTTCGCTGCCATTGGCAGAAGCGATGGACCATGAATTTGTTTGAGAGTCTCTGGATGCTACTTTTCCTCAGCCTGGTTTTCAGCCATTCCGTGCATCTTCTTCGCACGATTTGTTTTTCAAAAAAAAATGAAAGTGTTCATGAGTTTTCCTGTCGGCCGCGCGCGCGTAGATGGGCCAGGCTGACCTGCGCAGATGGGCTGCGCAGTGCGTTCGCTGATATCCCTAACTATGTACTGTTAGTAAAATAGCAATGAAAAATATCAATTGTGCCCTCGTAACCATGTATAAACAATTAAAATGAAACAATTTCGAATTCAACTCTGGAATTGTTTCATTTTAATTGTTTATACATGGTTATGAGTGCACAATTGATATTTTTCATTGCTATTTTACGACTGTTGTCTCCTCGTCGGTTATTTAAATAGTACTGTTAGTATTCAACTTAGTAACTGGTGTGTTTGCCCAAGCCGACTGGAGGAACACGATACACTGCCAAGGCGTGTGTGTGTGTGTGTATGTGTGTGTGTGTGTGTGTGTGTATTTGTGTGTGTGTGTGTGTGTGTGTGTGTGTGTGTGTGTGTGTGTGTGTGTATGTGTGTGTGTGTGTGTGTGTGTGTGTGTGTGTGTGTGTGTGTGTGTGTGTGTGTGTGTGTGTGTGTGTGTGTGTGTGTGTGTGTGTGTGTGTGTGTGTGTGTGTGTGTGTATTAGTAACTAAGTTTAGGGTTCACGGCTTGCCACTAAAAGCACCCGTCACGTGCGCCTCCATTTTGGATTATGGACGCGCGCTACAGGCCGCGACAGCGCCTATCGAAGTAAAAAAATATCTACTCGAAGTCTAGCCGGAGAGCGTACTTTTTGAATTTTTCCTTGGCTTCATGATTCAGTTCAGTGGCTTCACTTCACTCGGGCTTTGCATTTTTCTGACTGACCTGGACTTGATGATGGCGGCGGTGGCGATCTTGGCGAAAGATCCAGTACCATCTGAGACACTCTGTCGTCTCTTCTTATCTGCTGAGGTTCTGGCAAAGCGCAGCTGCATCGAACCTGACTAGATGTAGCTGCACGCATCCTTTGTTTGCCCTGCAAATCTCGATCTGTTGCTGTTTGGCCGCTGATGCCATGGAAGAAAATATTCTTCCTGTAAAGAGGCCGAAACTGAGCTAGGGCACGTCAAGATATGTAGGGTATACAAAGAAAAAGAAATGTCATGGTCGTTTCAGCAGCTCACGACAGCCAACACGCTCCATCGTCGGGATTGGAAGTATCCAGCACGGCTGTTCCGAGCGCTGCTGCTCTTGTTATTCTTCTTCTTCAGAAATTCTCCACACCTTGTCGGCCAAAGTACGCGCGCGCGTGCACGGAAAATAGATGCGCTGAGCCGTTTCTTGTTCGATTTTGACAAACAATGGCTTGTTGTTTTGCTCTCGACCTTGGCTATCCTTCTACCGTTCAGTATTTTACGGAAACGCAACGGCTCCCCCTGTTTTTTTAGCCGAACTTTGGCCAAAGTTACTGGAAAACCCGGAACTCGTTTGAAAAAATACGAACGGTGGAAGTCTTGGAACGTCTTTCGTGCGTGTGGATTGAAAAATTCAGGCAGTTTGAGCCAACCGTAATGAATCCCGTAGAGTTGAAAGTGAGTGATATTGATGGGAAAATGCGATTTGAGCACTGACCGATTGTGTGGGACAGTATATGTACGCGCCTGTCACGTGCATGATGTAGCTGGCGACGCTAGCATGCCAATCCGTGAACCCTAAAGTTAGATGCTTGTCATCTCAACCAGTGTACCACCGGTATGCCTGTTCATTGTCTAGGCTACATAGGCTACATGTACCTGTAGAGTATTTCACAGCATCATGGGACATCTTTCCGAGAAATGATGACTTTGTGGGGTGCATAACATCTGACGCCTGATCATGGGGTGGTGGCGTCCCACGGAAGCGGAAAGGTGGTTCTTGACCAGGGAGTTGTACGACTCCTTGTTCTTGACCTGCCCGGTACGCGAATCCCGTCGAATTTATTTTATTTTTTTATTATAACATTTTTTGAATTCGGGTCCATGTATTTGTTACCCAATTGCTTGGATATTTCATGATGAGGAAAATTCTACACTTGCTGGGGAAAGCCTGGAGAAAATTTGAAAATCTGACTTTCGAAAGACACCTTGGTTGCTGTTGACCTCGTTATATCCTCGCCATCAAGTTACGTGGACTATGCTCAGCTCTCTAACCTAGTACTATGCTTGACTGGCTCTTGGTGTTTGTGAATGCCCGCAGGCGTCCAAGAAGCGGCAGAAGCTGATGGAAACCATGGCGAAACGCAAGCTCCAGGTGGACGTTCAGCAGCTGGAAGGCTCGCTGAAGAAGCGGCCAAACAATGCCCGTCCGCTCAGTCCGTATCTGGTGGTGGACGCTGAGGCACTGCTGCTGAATTTGGAGCAGATTGAGGCTCTTGCCAGGTCTCGGCGATTTGTGATCATCGTACCACTGCGTGGTAAGTTAGTTAGCAACTACTGTGCACATTGCAATCCGGCGGAATAGCCAGGGAAGTCTGGATTGGGGGAGTTTTACTGTATTGTGTGAATCGTTTGCCTGTCAGCGTTCGCTACTAAATACAGCTCCAGTCTAATACTCTTTGTGTTTGTCCTGTCATTCCGTTGCCGTAGTGATCGACACTTTGGACGACATGAAAACATCCAGCACCCACCACGCGGCACGCGCCGCCATCAAGCGCCTGGAAGAGCACTTTAAGCGTGGCAGCCGCTGGGTACGCGCCCAGCGAGAGAGCGAGACGCACGCGCCAGCTGCAGCCAAGAAACCTAACGACCCTGCTGAGCTTCGAGCATGGTGAGCTATGGGCCGGGAAATGTTTTTTTTTTCTCTTTTACAATGCAACATAATTTGAGAGTGAAAGCAATTGTTGTGACATGCTTATGGCACTGTACTTCTTCTTCTCATCCACTCACTACTTCAGCTCATACATGCACATCCTTCAACGTGGTGAATCCCTTGATAGGCGCCCAGCCTTTGGGTCATCCTAATCAAGATATTATTATTGTCCTTCTCCTTCCTCCTCTGGTGTCCTGCCCAGGAACTCATCCTTTCCAGTTGCTTTTGGATTTTTGTTGCGTTTGTTTTTGTACTTCGGTATGAGCTTATTTGCTACAATGTCTTATTGTGTTGTTGTCTTATTCTCTTGTTGTCTTGTGTGCCCAGGCGTTTCTCGCGCGTAGTGGACTGCTGCATCTACTTTGTCCAGCACGCCAACACCAAGTCCAAGACGTCCATGTTCCGGCCGCTGTCGCACGGCCTGGTCACCCTGCTCACCGGCCAGGCCATCCTGCAGCCTCGCGACGCCGCGCTCGTCGCACTCGACACGCCGTTGGAGAAGGCGGTGGCCGAGGCGCGGTCCGCGGGCGCCGACGTCTTCCGAGTGTCGCACTTCTTCCAGCTGTGGAGCCAGAGTCCCGCTGCAGCCGCCAGTGCTGCTGGTGCAACGTCAGCTGCCGCTGGTCCAGCATCAGCGCATACTCAGCATCGGCCGCCACACGGCCGTGGCAGCAGTCGTGCTCCGTCACGCGGTGCTCGACACCAAGGAAACGGAGAAAGTAGCGCGGCAGGGCCCAAGCGCTTTTCCTCTCAGCACCACGCGTCGTCCGCCGCTGTTGCCACCCGCAAGACCCCTGGCGAGTCGAAGCAACGCGCCACCGATGCGCCTGCGGGAGCCGGCGGTCATCGCACGCGCTCTGGTTCGTCCTCGCGTGGCCGCCGAGGCAGTGCAGGAGCTGCGGGACGCGGCGGTGGTGGAGGCGGTGCTCGCAATAGTAATGGCTACGGTTGAGCGGCGGCGACTCACAGCGTTCTTGATATCTCCTGCTCCCCTTTTCTTCTTCGTTTGTAACACGAAAAAGTAGCCGCTTGAAATAAACGCACACAACCAGAGAGGGTACATGTGTGTATGCACGGCCTTGACAGCAGCTGTGCATCAGCCTCCTCTCACCGGCGACTACCAACCCCCCTGCGGACTGTAATGTGTCACTGGAGTCTCTTTGCCATGCGCTGACTGACATGCCAAAGCCGCCATCGCCACTGCCAGTGTCGCCACACTGCTGCTACTGCTCCTGGTCATGACGTGGCATTACGACACTCGCCATTGTCCGCATGGCCACAGCCAGTGTGTGGTGCTCCAGTAGCGGCGGAAGCCGGCTTTCATTCGTTCTCTGCGGGCCAGTCGTTTGTTCCTCTAAGGTGAAATCAGCTGCTTCAGGCCTTCTAGTGTTGGCTTGCGTAGTCCTATCAGGTCGTGCCGCATAGGGTTGTCTGATGTGCTGCTGCTAATGTTCTTGGTGCGTTGCCTGTCTTGGTCGCTTCCAAGTTGGCATTCTGATACTGGCTCATAGCTGATATTCAAGTCGGTGGTGTTGCGCGCAGTGGGCATCTCTCAAGCTGCCTTATCGCTACGTTGATCTTCACAGATGCATGTTTAGGCGAGCAGATCACGGGACATGCGCACAGAGCTGCTTCTCTGCCCCGACAGCAGCACCATGATCCACCGCCACAGAACGGGTTGCCCTTGCCTTCGCAGTGTCACTGCAGTGCAATACGCTGATTTCGTGTGGGCGAGTCCTACAGCCAAGCAGCCCGCCCCTCCTTTTCTCAATCTTGTGTGTGTGTGTGTGTGTGTGTGTGTGCGCGTGTGTGCGCGTGTGTGCGTGTGCGTGTGTGTGTTCGTTGGGACCGTCTTGTGTTCTCGATGCTTGGCCCGTGGGGCTATCACCACGCTGAAATACCCCTCATGTACTCTGGAATTCGTGCTTCGGGCAGCACCTCTCCGTCACTGATTGAAGTGGTGCACGTTGGCATCACATCAGGACCTGTACAGATAAACTAGCAGACAGCATTCCCCTGCTGGACAGCATTCCCCTGCTGGTCTAGGTGTAGTTGCTCTTCGCCATAGCCGTTCCCACCTACTTACTATAACCGCACCATGTTGCTGCATCACATCTACAACAGCTAGACAGCAGTCTTCCGGAGTACGTTCATCCGTCGCAGTCATCATGCAGCATTATGCCCAGCAGCAGCAGCCGGGTGCTGACTACCGCTGTCCACTGCCTCTGTTCTGCTGTTGCGAGTCTAGCTCAGTCTAGCTCAGTCCGCTGTCTCTCTTCTACTGCAGTCAGCCCAGCTCAGCCCAGCTCAGCTGCGCTCCGTAGTTGTAGTCTCGCCGTGCGTCGGCGCTGCTCCATCGCTTACTGCTCTCAATGTGTACCCGTGTTGCCATGCTTCACCGCCCATGCCAGCGGTGCCCGGTCTGGTGGCCTTGGTCGCTGCGAGAGCGTGTGCTCGTGCCCAGTCTGGTGGCCTTCGTGGCGAAGACACTCGCCCTGCGGCGACATTGCATCAACTGTAGCACTCCATCTCGAAGTGTCTCTTCTTGCCATCGCTGCACATGCTGTCTTGCCATCGCTGCACATGCTGTCTTGCACATACTGCTGTGCTGCATCGAGTAGTAGTCTAGCTTCTCTTCCACACGACCGCTCGTGGATAATGGTGATTGTTTTTATATTTCTTTGCTTCTGCGTGTATATGGTTTGTTTTTGTTTTGTTTTTGTTCGCGAGGAGTTTCCGCACCCTTCTTTCATCAGACATGCCTTTCTCCGGGTGTGTGTGGAACAATGTGCTTTCCGGGCATAATTGCCAAGAGCCATTTGTTGTGGCGATAGTTTTTTTGCTCTAGTTGTTTGAGGATGCTTCCTAGGCTTTTGTATGAAGTGGTTTCATCTGCAGTTTGTGCTTCCATCTTGTTCATGGTTCATTCCACCTTTCTTTTCACCGCGGCCCTTCTCTGGTTAGCTGCTGCTTTGATTTCGGACCCAAGCTTTTTCTGGCATGTCCGAACCTTTTTGCGTAGCAAATTCCAATCGCCTCCGTGTTACTCATCGTTCTTTGCAGCTCTCCGAGTGTGCATGTGTGTGCGTACGTGTGCGAGGTGTGTGTGTGTGTATGTGTGTGTGTGATACACACAACCGGCAGTCATAAAAATACGGAATATTGAATTATTCGTATGGCTCTTGAATCTTGAAAAAAAACAGAAAACTGACAACATACATGAGTCATGTATATATATCTGAGTGAGAGTCGAAGATACTGTCGTAGTCAAACAGTCTCTCAACACCGAAGACCATTCACGGCCAGGGTTTGGCGGAAATAAACATAAATTCAGATGGTTTAAAACGGAGAGTAGAATAAACTGGAAGTGAGCTGCCAGAAGCTACCAGAGCCAGCAGTCAAATTGAGGATAAAAGATAAAAAGGCATCAAGTCCAGATTAAGGGCGAGAGCTGGGTGCGCGGAGGTCGGTACGGGGCTCTGCCAGTACGGGGACGTGCTCATCAAATTAACTTAGGACGGATAGTAGTAGTGCATGGGGGGGGGGGGGGCATTGCGCTCCTGTCACTCCACGGCACACCAAACCAGCAAGTGGCAACGGAGAGAACTTGCAGAGAGACGCCGCATTAAAAACAGAACGGGTTGCTGGGATCATTCAGCACGTCGTCATGCCGGCCGTCATTGAGAGAATATTTAGAAAATAAAAACAAGAGTAGACAAAAACGAAAACATTAACGTTCGGCTGGAACTTCTAAAGAGGACACAAAAACGTGCGAGGAACAACGATGAGCGACGGACAGAGGTCAGCTTCGCACAGCACATTGTTAGCAGCAGAGGTAGAGAACTTCTAGAGAGGACGACAAAAACGTGCGAGGAACAACGATGAGCGACAGACAGAGGTCAGCTTCGCACAGCACATTGTTAGCAGCAGAGGTAGAGCAGGAACGGAACAGTATCCCCAAACAAACACATGACACGGAGGCCACCGTCGGTCGCTGAAGACCAACAAATACCAGTGGTTGTAACGGACTCGGCCAGATCAGCAGCACCCACTGACATTGCCATCAGACGTGGGCCAGCAGATGTTGCCCCGTGCCACGCACACATAACCAAACGGGGCACGTCGGCCATGCCGGGTAGTACGCCGATGAGTGTAGGAAACATGGCAGCACACCCACACCCTGGGTTCCAACTGAGCTAGAGACGCAGCTGCAGCACAACACTCTGGTCGGGGCGCTGCGCGCTGTGGAGGTACGCGAGGTGGTACCTACCCATCACAACAGGCTCAAGTCGGCGGTATCACTGTAGGACTCCGCTAACAGCACGATCAATACCTACACGCCGCGGTTACGTGTGTCCAGACAAAGCCTGGCCAGAGCACAGCACCCACAGTGTAACACTATGATGTCATTGGAGCAGATCATGACATCATAATGACACCATCTGACTGGAGCATGACATGTGTCGCATGCTTCTGCAGATAGAGCAGTTCAGGTTAGGATACGGGGGTTGCATTGGCTTGCTGTGACTTTATCGCTGATGACGGCAAACCCGCCGCACGTGTACCGTCAGCTGATGCCGTGTCGCCCGGCAATGCCCGTGGGGTCACAGACGGCCCTTCTGCTCCTTGTCGGCGGTGAGAGGTGTAGCGAGACTGCAGTCGGTCAGCTAGAGGAACAGAGCCAGATTCGCCATCGCACTGACAGGCGCCAGATACACCGCGCTGCTCAGCATCACCGCTCCCCGTCTTGTCGGCCGAGGACAGGCGAGACGTCTGGTCCAGACTGTAGCGGACCTAGAGCAAGCAGTAGCAACAACAAGAATAAGACACGCTGTCGTTGAGCACCGAGACATGGAAAAGCCTGCCTGCCTGCCAGCCTGCCAAAATGGCAGCATTACCCCTTCGTTTTGGAAAGATAAACATTTACCAACCAACTATGCCTTGATGTCAGGGTGGTGGGTTCGAGCCGCGCCCCACTTCAGGTGCCTTTAATGCAAGTAGCGACTACATGTACTGGGATAAGGGCTTTAGGCCACTTCGAAGAAGCAGCGAGCACAAGAAGCAGAACAAATTTAGTGAACTCAGGAGAACATACGCCTGTTGCCATCGGAGTAGATGTCACATATTACTACATTTCAGCGGGTTAGGAGTCAGTCAATTTGCACACTTTCTCATTTTTTCTAAAAGTGTGCCATTACTGGTAATGATACGACTGTGCCTGTAGTCATTCATGCAGTTTGATTCGCTGCAGGGACTCGATATTTCTTGACTCCCTGAATCGCACTATGTAGTTGATATTTCACGATATTTCTTGACTCCCTGAATCGCACTATGGAGTTGATATTTCACGATATTTCTTGACTCCCTGAATCGCACTATGGAGTTGATATTTCACGATATTTCTTGACTCCCTGATACGCACAGCGGTGTAGCGCAAGACGATCTGTCGCGCATCACCCCAGCTTGCGTATGTGCAGTACAACTGTGTACCGTCGGGCTCCCTGCCTATTAAAGGGGAAGTGCATCGATTTTTCGAGTAGGGTCCAGAAGAAAGACAATTTGATATCGGTTCGAATGGCATATCTCTTGCTTCCATACGATAAGCCAAACTTGCCAAATCGCCAATTGTATGCTCACGTTGCCATAGCGACCAGCGGAGTGATGACGTACGAAAGGCTTAGCTCCTCCACAGGAGAAGGTCGATCACTGCATAAATTGGTCATTTTCAATTATCTTATTGTATTCACGATGTGAAAGAAGTGCTGTGTTCAATGCTGTTAGTGCCGTGAACTATTTGTCGCCCTTCTCATGTATTTCCCAAGGCTGACTGTGCCTACGAAATGGTTTCCTCCAGGACAAGATGCTTGGAATTCGCCGTCTCTCCTGAGACATTTTCAGCAAACTTTCAAACCTACGACATTATTTCATTCGTCAATCTCCACCACCCGTCGTCTCACCTGGCTTCAGAAGATGTTACGAGAGATAGGAGAGTCGCCAGGAAGCATCACATTCACCTTCAGGAAGTGGAAAGAGCAAACGGCATGGTCCTTGGTTGGGGAAAATGCTGAACGTCTGATTTGTCCCAACCAAGATTTCAGCATTTTGTTCGTCACTATTTTCGCTTGTCTGCTGGTGTCTCCGCGCTCCAGCTTTCTCCTGTCGGTGTCACGTCCCAGTACACAACCGAGAGGACTACTAACAAACAGTTCACTGCACTTACAGCATTGAACACAGCCCTTCTTTCACTTCGTGAATACAATAAACCAATTGAAAATGACCAAATTCTGCAGTGATCGACCTTCTCTGTGGTGGAGCTAAGCCTTTCGTACGTCATCACTGCGCTGGTCGCTATGGCAACGTGAGTATACAATTGGCGATTTGGCAAGTTTGGCTTATCGTATGGAAGCGAAAGATATGCCATTCGAACCGATATCAAATTGTCTTTCTTCTGGACCATACTCGAAAAATCGATGCACTTCCCCTTTAAATACGGACGTTTCAGTATCACGTGAGGCCTGTACGACAAATGTCCGGAGCCGCGCCGAGTCAGGAGCCACAGAACACACTGTCACTCACTTCTTTCAGAGCCGACTCAGTCTCGTGAAGTAATGACTTCAGGCTGTGCAAAAGAGAACAGAAAATAAACACGCACACATCTATGAAAACATCACCTCGACAAATTCCCGTGGCCCTGGAATGCCGGGAACGGAATCACAAAAATTAATATGATCAAAATTACAGTGAGAGCAAACGATAGCTTGTTTGGGGAGAAAGCTCCTCAACAGATCACGGCATACAATTCAAGACAAATATGTAACTCCAAAAATTCAAATCACCATTCACAGTATATGCCTGATCTCAATAGTCAGAATTACAACCCTCTCCTTGCCTGTGGAAACTGGATAACAATACTATGTTAACTTACTATTCTATCCGTCTCCTGTATTGAGCATCTTCCATTAGTAACAGACGCCGGTAGTCCTCAACTGACTCCACCCTTGCATACATACTGAACACAGGGGAGGAGGAGGAGAGAGAGAGAGAAAGATAGATAGGATGGAAGAGAGAGAGAGAGAGAGAGAGAGAGAGAGAGAGAGAGAGAGAGAGAGAGAGAGAGAGAGAGAGAGAGAGAGAGAGAGAGAGACACACACACACACACACACACATCAGCAACAGTCGTAAGAAGCACGCACCAGCAAAGCCAAACACCCAGTCCCATAAGCTCCAAACACAGCGTAAACGAACTACACATGCCTAAGGCACATTCAAATGGGCAACAGAGACAAGAAAGACACGGTACAAAACACAAACCGGAACATCAACCTTACGTTTCTAGAGAAGACGCCTGACACTGCTGTGAACGGGCGGACAGCAATCTCCAGTTGAGTACCATGCATACCGATGCCACTAGGAATCTGCACATACATCACAACAACACAAGAAGACAATACTCAGTGACAACTCCTTCCTTGAACACCAGGGAGGCGTAGCACACGGGGAAACGGCATGGGCGACTGTAACGCAAAACCACGCGGTTTTCGCTCCCGGCCTGCCCGTTGCAGTCGCCCTTCGGCCAGGGCCGACGTGTACACACTAGCATACTATTGGTATCGCTTGTCTGGGCCAGGCTGGAGATCGGCAGGTCATGGCCGTGATCGCTGGTTGCATACACCACTGATCACACAGAACTTCGAAACCAGGCCAGGGATGTCTAGGCCGTGTTTGAGATCAGCAGGGTATGCTTGTGATCGCTGGTCACATGGACCACTGATCACATAGAACTTCCAAACCAGGGGTCGACACACGCACACTGTTCCGGGTACATGTACTCCTGCGAACATTGAAGTCCGATAGGATGACGAGGGCCGGCGCCCTTACTGCTTCTAGCGTATACATACACTGCAGTTCACGTACACGCTGTGAAATAATTGGACTAGCAGTGCTCGCGCCTGCAAGTCCAACACTACTTGGCCGCTTGACTTGTCAACGGATTTCAATAGACACCCTTAGCAAAAAACGTTATGTTGTAACGGTATTATCGTAAGGGGGAAAATACCGTGATTTGGGTTCGACCTTTAGCAAGATGCACGCTATTCTTAGTACGCTGTTGCCACGAGAATAGCTTTGATTTCGCGCGGTACAACCATTTTTTCACCATATAAGCGATACAAGGTGAAAAGCGTACGGACTATGCAATATTTGGCCAAAACACGTACCGTTGGTCACAACGATAAATCAGCCCCCATAACGTTTAGACGCTGCAGCTTCAACGCTATTTGGGTGATCAAGGTACGAGTACCGTAAAAAAATAGCGTTACCGTTGTTTGCTAAGGGTGTCTATTGTGCGCAAACAGTACGGTATGATCTCGTGTTGTCTCCCTGGTGAACACCCACATACCACACACCACACGCACTATGTATGTCATCATCAAGAGTACATACCCCCCCCCCCCCCCCCAAAGTGTGCAACGCATGATCCAGCTCTGCATAGGGTCTTTGGTCGAGCGTAGTCGCAGCCAGTCTCGAGGCAGGGCACCATTATTTTTTGGTCCGGGAGTCCCTGCGACTCCCCGGGTTCCCCTCAGATGTGTACGGTATTATGACGCAAAGATCCGATTACGCTCGACCAAGACCCTATGCTGAGCTTGACCAGGCGTTGCACATTCCGGGGGGGGTTATGTACTCTTGCTATCATGTACACCCAATCAAACCGAATAAAACATCGACGCACAATCCAAGTGACTTACATAACAGCAAGCACAGCTGAACGAGGCAGCGGTCCTTTCCGCGTCACCCTGCAAACGCGTACACAGACAGACAGACGCACAGACACACACACACATGCATACGAGCACGTACGCACAGACACCATTATGTAAAAAAGCATTACACTATCGCCGCAGTCATGTCGGCGGCAAGGAGGACAGCTAGCCGCCTGCATCATTGTACATACTCTGACCAGACACACACCTGCTTAGTACGGACATCGATCCATACTGTAGTGGCTAGGGATAGGAAGTACTTTGCACCTCATTTTTTTACTAAGAACACAGCCCTCCTACCAATAGACATGCGGGACAAACACAAAACAAGACACAGGGGATGTAGGGACGATGTCAGACACTAAGTACACTGACTTTCCTGTGGCCCATGGCATAGGGGGTAGATGTACATCTTATCAGAGATGCACTATACTACTCAAAATCAGAACCACGTCCAAACGGTTCGATACGGCTTGTCCCAAACACACACACACACACACACACACACACACACACACACACACACACACACACACACACACCAAGCAAACAGCAAACACAACGCGACCAAGCAAACCCCTTACCAACTAAACAAGGCTGCCAGCGCACCCTGCATCACCGAGCCGACGCTTAGTAGTTGCACTGCATGGGTAGGAAGACAGCGCACAATCGCACAACAACAAGAACGTCCATACAACAAACAGTCTTAGAAAAAGCTCAACATTTACGCAGCAGGCACGAAGCAGACGACATTTTCAAACTGAGTAGATAAAAATCATGAGGCGATCAATTCGCACTCGGCACAAACATAACCCAGCAAAGACAAACATCGGACACAAGAGTTCAGGGAAGCGAAACATAGCCACCTACGTAGTCGTTGCGCGTTCTTCCAGCTCACTCGAACAACTGACACTACAAAATTAATAATGTACTTATTCCACTTTACTCAAATGAACACACTACAAAAATAGTAGTAGTAGTCGACTAGTCAACAACTACTTACTGTGAACTGCCATTACACCAAGACTCGTTCAAGTGTAGGTCTACAAACTAGATTCTTCGAATAATTTTTACTCATGAAGACAGCACCAAGCGGTGAGGCCTCGAAAGTAGATGGCGCGACGCGTCCAGTACCGGTACAGCAGCTAGAACTAGTACTAGTAGTAGTAGAAGCGCAGAGGCCTGTAATCTGTCACTGCACGGTTCAGCTTCGGAGGTCCGGCGTCGGCATCGCAAAGCAGAACCAGAGCCGAGGACAATCTACTGCCTACAGTAGTAGTACTAGTAGTAGTGACATCCAGACGACATAACGAAGTCAGCGCCAGTAAACATGTCGAGAATGGGGCGACAGAAAAAAAGAAAACCTACAAATTGCAGTGCCTTTATCACTATCCAGGATTTACCTCAGCATAGCCTGGTCTACCTGGCGACGACAAAGGTCAGTCTCGCGCGCAGTCCTGAGCAGAAGCCAGCCTTCGAAGAACAATCAGCTAGTTGGCGATCGCATAGTGTGCATACTAAAAAAATAGTAGCCGGAAGTCGACTGTTGAGCAGGCGCAAAAGGACCGGATACGTACACATGCCATGGTACAAGACGATGATGGTACACGCCACGCTTCGTATCCAAATGGCTGTGCTTGCCCTGAAACAGCGAGACTACAAGTAGCAGAGTCTAGAGAGAGAGAGAGGGGCTGAGTCCTGTAGTCTTTCTGGGTGAGAAAGATGTTGTTGAGGGTAACACCACGTACTTGGCACTGGACTTCCTTTATAATATGCCAGGGCCAGGCAGTAGTGTTTGGCGGTACATGTACGTACTGTCGTGGACATGGAAATCCAGTCGATCGTCGAGCGGCCCAGGGCGCTGGCCATGCAGCCGTGAGTACCCATACGATCAACACGGGCACTCCAACGCAGCGTTCTGTGCGCACTGAGGGCGCCGGCCCCGCGTCAATCGACCGGATTTCCATGTCCACGATGGTACATGACGAGGCACATGACATTGTACAGGCTGAGAGCACAATCATGCAAGTACAGTACAAGCAGAAATATTCGTCTGGAATTTAATTTCGTCTTTTTCGTCCAAGGAGCTTTTGGACTAAATTTAGGGTGCGTTCTTATATTCTCTAGCTTCTAGAAGAAGAAGAAAAGAGAAGTCGAAGAAACTGGGATTACTCAAGAACGGGTCTCGAAGAATTCGGAGATATTTTGCACATGTCAAGCAAAGTGAAGCGCCAAAGGGGCCGCGATCTTGAGTGATGAATGTATGTGCGTATGCGAAAAGGGAAATGCGTACACTCATGATGAACACGTGGCTTTTAGCCGTAGTTCGCATGCGCTGATCCCAAACCGCGGGAATCTCCAAGTTTCAACCACCTCTGAAGCTTGGAGAGCTTCGGAGAGCCTCCTAAAAGTCGGGGAGGATATAAGAACAGCTCTCGAACTTTTCGGAGAGTCTCCAACTTTTCCGAGAGGATTTAAGAACGCACCCTAAATGTAGGACTAATGTCGATTTGCCCAGCTTTTCTATACACTCTTATGACCCGTGGACAAAATTTTCAACCGGACGAACTCCTTTTCTTTGGAGTTGGACGAAATTATTGACCGACGAAATTTTCTGCCTTTACAGTAGAACAGGGCAGCAGCACCAGAATTTCAGGTGGTCCGGATACTTGGCCGGAAATGAACATTACTGTCGGTGTTTTAGCATCGTTGTGACCAGGCTGGAGATTAGAGGGCAGAAAGCATTACCGTCGGTGCCTTAAACAAATTATTTGAGGCTACAGCCTCGTTTGGTGCGAAACGGGGCCAAGAACTGCTAAGCCACGTGACCAGGCCGGGCAACCTCGGTGTTTTCAAGTTGGGATTTTTGACACCGACTGTATGAGGCGGCCATCCCGCACCTTCTCGAACGGGACAGTGCGCAAGGGCCGGCTTAGCAAGTTCGTGTGCAGGTCACCACCGTCGGATCATCGGACATGCCATGCGGCAGCCTGCCCTTTCCAGGGGGTCTGGCCCAGAGGAGAAAACTCCCCAGGGTGTGCAACAACTGCACGTAACGCCAAGAGCAGAGAACTCCCCAGGGTGTGCAACAACTGCACATCACACCAAGAGCAGAGAACTCCCCATGGGGTGCGACAGCTGCACATAGCACCAAGAGCAGAGAACTCCCCAGGGTGTGCAACAACTGCACATCACACCAAGAGCAGAGAACTCCCCATGGGGTGCGACAACTGCACATAACTCCCCAGCGTGTGCAACAACTGAATATAACACAAAGAGCACATAACTCCCCGTGTGTGCAACAACTGCACAAAACACCAAGAGCAGAGAACTCCCCAGGGTCATAATAATTGTTGCTTACCAAGGCTTGGTCTGACAGAGGAGCGGCACCCCAAGATGAGAGACTGACCATCAAAGTAAGAAAGAATGGACTCAGATGGAGAGCCAGGATTAATTTATAGAAAATAAAAAAGGACCAAGGAACTGCAAGTTACGCTTCTAGTACGCTCAGTGTCGTGCAGTGTTATCGCATGAGCTGATTGTTTAGTAACTGGTGTTAGTGGACATTATAGCGTAACTTGTAGTTCCTTGGTCCTTTTTTTCTATAAAGTAAAAACGCAGAGTGTTTAATGCACACATGCACGTGCACAGAGTGGGAGGAGGACGAGACTTACACACAGGTCGCCAGAGACTGGTAATAGCCGGTGTTGCGGACGAGAAGAACGTTGCCTGCTGAGCTCTGGATTGCGTCCTCGGCTGAGACTTTCCGTCTAGGCTGCCGGCGGAGGATCGCCTTGATCGGACCGACGCTTGCGAGGCATTGCTGCCGTGTCGGCGTAAGCGCACGCCATTGCAGCCGTTGGCGTTGCGCTCCGTCCTGGACTCGAACGCGTCCGTTTCGGAGCACTCCACCGCCGTCACGCGCTGCTGCGATGTCAACTCGTCTACTGCTGTCGGCACTGGTGTCGGGCGATCCGTGCTGCTGCTGCCACCAGTGGCCGGGATCGGCGAGGATTCGCTGCTGCTGGTGGCGGCCGTGGTGACGGGCCCGAACGTGACGACCGTATGCCGCTGCTGTAGGATACAATGCCGCCGCTGCTGTCCCGTGTGTGGCATGTGGTGCGGGCTACTTTCGATGCTGGACTTCGAACTGCTCGGTGGCGTGGCACCCGTTACGGTGACGGGCATGCGAGCGGGCGACAAATCACTCGACACTGCGGCGGCGATCGAATCACCATGGTGATCAGACGACGACGAGCGAATAGTCAGCGACGAGAACTCCCGCTCGATCGACATTCCAGAGTCGCTGTTGGTTGCGCTTGCCGTGATGCTGCAGCCCGAATCGACCAGGTCGCGGATACTGAGCTCGGCGGGCCCACGGCCGTTTGCCAGGAACGGCAGGCGTCCACTGAAGCTTGTCGAGCGTCGATGGCTAACCGGTGCCGAGTGAGGAGGCAGCTTCGACGACGAAACGGAGGCAACTGCTTTGCGAGGCGATGTCCCGGAGGGCATCCGGCTTTCGGAGTCACTGAACGCCAGGGCTTCCTGTGAGCCAATGACCGCCGAGGTATCACCCGGTGTTGTTGCTTCATGCGCGGTCACCTGGCCGTGAGACTGGGGTAGTTTCGGCGGACTGACGCCGTCCGAGTTGCTACGCTTCATCAGCTGCTTGAGGACTCGGCGGAATGGCTGCGTGGCAGTTAGTGCCACGCGCTCAGCGTGAGAGCGATGCTGCAGGGACTTTCCGCTGGGCGTGCGCTCAACCGCACAGATCATGGCGGCGCCGGCTCCAGCAGCATCCGGAGATTCGCCGCATTCCGCTGCAGCAGCAGCGGCGGCAGATGACTGGGGAATGTCGTCGTAAGAACGGTGCCGCACCAGGTGCTCGGTGAGCTTGCTTCTCGCGCCCCCGGTGGACAGGCTGGAGTCGGACTTTGACTGGAGAACGGTCTCGGCAGGAGCAACCGTGCACGGACAGTCGAGGTCAACGTCTTCGTCGTCGCTGACGTCTAGCATGCCATCCAGGTCATTGGAGAAATCGCCGGCCAAAGCGACTTCGCCCGCTGCGGACGGAGAGCCGGAGGAGACGACACAACTGCCGGTGTCGACGCCACAACTGGCAACAGCCGGCACGGATATGGAATGCGTGTACATGACGGGCGCGGCGGCGGGAACGCTGTCCACCGCCGGGAACACGCCGTCGGGAGCAGTGGAGGGGGAGACGGGTGACGACATCAGCGTGGAGCGAGGTACGCTGGCACTGGCGCTAATAGAACGTGGGCGCATTACCGAGCCCCGGACAACCGCAGCATCGCTTTCGGTCAATTCGACGCCGTCTCCAGCGCTCTCCTGCTCGAGGCCATTGTTTGAAAGCGTGTAGGCATCCGCGGCGCTCTCCATGTTGCTCCCGTTCGGCCGGCCAAATAAACCGCCCGAGAGCTTGGAGAGGACATTGCTGCGCCGTCCCGGGATGTCGTCCACCAAGGAGCTCATCGCGGAGCTCAGTCGACGAGTGCTACCACCGCCACTGTTACTGCCAGTGCCACCTCCGCTGCTGCTGGTGGTGCTGTTGTTGTCGCTGCGATGGCGCGTGGGCAGGTTGGGCAGGCGGCCGGCAAAGTTGAGCAGCTTGGACATGCCCGGGATGGCCGCCATACTCCGGTCGTTGGACACGGCCGCGGCTCGGCTCAGGTCGTACACACGTCGGCTGACGAACGCGCCGTCTCCGATCTGCACGAGGTCGTCGTCGCTACCGCCGGCTGTTGCCGGAATGGACAGCGGCCGACCGCTGTAGTCGGAATCGCTAGCGCTGGCGCCCGCAGGAACGAGCAGGTCGTCCATCGCCACCGTGTCCCCGCCGACCTCACCAGAGCGGATCGAGATCTTGTCAGCGTCGCTGATCGGGTCCGACTTGGCACGGCGGTGAGTGCTGCCGCGGGACTGCCGCCGCTGCAGTTGCTGGCTAGACTGCGGTGGCGAGTTGCTAGCGACGACGCAGCCCGTCGAGGAGGCGCTCGCCACTGCGGTGGTCAAGCTGGGCCTGCGTTCACTGGAAGAATGGGCCGGGGCCGCCGCACTGGTGGTGGTGTTGTCGGCATCCGACGTACCGACGGCGGCGGTGTCATTGTCCGTCGTCTTTCCACTTGCCCTCGCCGTCTCCGGCATGTGCGGCACCGGCACTGGCTCCATACCTGAGCGCTGTCAGCGACGGACTGCTGCCTAGTGGCAATCTGCAACGCAAAATGAATCAGAAAACAAAGCGCGCGGCCAACACAAACACAGTCCAATCCTGAGTTCAGTGGAGACGGGAGACATACATCAGTTGTCCTAGGATTGCCTATGGGCATGAAACTGATAGCTACAACGAATGATGCGTGGTGCTCTGTGCCGTGTGTACGGCACCTCAACTCGAATGATTATTGAGCACTCTACCGAGTCGGAGGACTCTCATCTGGAGACACACCATCGTATTGGGACCGCGTTATAGCTCCGTGGAGACACGATAATGTGCAGCAACGGCGTTAAGGCCCTCATCAGACTACGTACATAGAAAATCCAGTACAAAATCACATAAAACCTAAAAGGCAACATTTTTCCATGCCTGCATTCAGACTACACATTTTACATGCAATATACAGGCAACCTTTGACCCTACGAAATTGCGCAAGGGGCCTGGGATGTGTGAAAGCAGCGGACAGTCGTACCCGGGTACGAAGTTCGTACAACTGCCTGGTGAAAGTACGATAAATGCAGGAAAGTTGCCTTGTACAAGGGTTGGCACCCTGCCTGAAAGGATTGGGCAGCTTTTTAGGCTTCCCGCCAGATTCTTGTTGTTGTCTTGGAAACTTCTATATAAATGTGACTTATAGGCTGGTTTGTACCTAGTCTGAAGAGGGCCTTAGACGGCGGGCTAGGTGTGTGCACACGAGAGGGGGGGGGGGGGGGGATAGGGAGCCTTCGTACTCTACATGTGTTGCTCAGTCTTCTACCTGTACTGGTACGTGAACTTGATACTGCATGTCAATTACAGTGAAACCTGTCTACAGTCCATTTCAAAACTATAGACGCGTACCTAGGCAAAAACCGTTATGCCAGCATCTATACCACATAAAATCTGTGATCACTTTGTGCATAATTTTTTCCAAATTGGGCGTCTGTTATCCAATCGTTTAGAAACTATATGAGAGTAATTGTGGAGCGGTCCTGAGCAATATTCCGAAAGCTATTCTCAAAAAGGTCCAGCCAAATTTGAAATATTTCAAAACCCCTACGCGTCTATAGTTTTGAAATGGACTGTAAGTCGACAAATTTTCGGCCCATTCAAATTTCTGCCTCCAAGGGCTAAAACACATTTCCGCCGCAATATTTTCGGCCTGTACTGCTGCTGCCTGTATGCACTGTCACACTGAACCTTGCAAAGCAACATTTCGGCCGCAACAAGTTTTCGGCCAAAAAGCGCCCAGGCCGGAAATAGCCGGAAATAAATAAATACGCGGCGAATAGCTGTTCACTTACAGTAGGTACTCCTATAACTGAAACCTAGCTGACTCCTAATGATGAAATGACGGATCAGCTGCTTGGCTAACTGCATGCGTACAGTCGCTCACATTATCACTCAATACAACTGCACACCCAGCCACACCGTACCCCCCCCCCCCCCCCTTCACACCCTCACACCCAACCACACCATACCCCCCCCCCCCCCCCCTCACATGCACACACACGCACGTACAGTAAAACCTGTAAGTAAAGACCACCGTGACCAGCAAACAGCCTGGTACATGTACTACAGACCACTTTGCCAGGCACGGACGGACGGACGGTCTCACATTCATTTATATTATGGTTTTGCGGTGCAAACCTCTAACTAAGGACCACCTGCCACTAAAGACCGCATCGTCTGGCACCAAGGGGTGGTCGTTAGTTACAGGCTTTACTGTACACACATTCATGTTCAGCTGCACCCCGTTGAAACATTATCTGAGGAAATCTCTACTCCGTAACCTTGATAGGAAGTGTCAGAGGCAGTAGTTTTGGAAAAAGGATGCTAATTACATCTGGTCACAGCTGTACAAAAACTACTGTCTGTAGCCGTGTTGGGTAGCCAAAACTTCAAATAGGCGTTTCAACACATGTTCACACAACAAAACATGTGGTAGATTGGAGGCGGTGAAAATAGTTCCGCAATCTATACCCTCACATGCAAAGACGCAAATCCATGCAATCAAGTAGAAGCAAAAACATGTATTGTTGTTTCTCCCCTTTAGCATCAGCAAATCAAGCTCGCGTCACTCAAACTGGCAGCCAACAGCTACAGGTGCATTCGCATTTTGATACGTACCGGTACATGATACAAGTGTGCTGATTCTCAGTAGACCTACCAACGATGCAACATCGTTACATGAACATGCAGCAGCGTAACTGTAATGAATTTGTACAACATTTTTGTGATCATAGCGTAGTCTACTTCTCACGGTCACGAATCAGGATGAGTTCAATACGATGGCGGATATGGGTACAGTACCACTACCAGGTCGAGAGAAAAAAAATGCTATCCACATCGAGTGCCCTGAAAATAAGATCCTTGCAAGCCCTGAAAATAAGATCCTTGCAAGCCCTTGGTCAGAATCAACACTACGGAATTAGCAGTGCTGTTATTTGGTGCACTCAAATTAATTGTCGAGCACTTGGACACTTGTTGAAGCCTGACTAGCCTGGAATGGGAGAAACAATTTGTTCCGCGTACAAAAGTACAAGACAGTTCGACAGTACACGCAGCGACGCAGTACTACTAGTATGCAAGAGTATAATTATAACCCCAGGCTTTTGGATTCCCAATATATACTCTTGGTATAAGTGAACATAGTTGCCGCTTGTCGAATCAAGCTCCTTGGTTGCATGTGCCCTGTAGGAATACTGTATTCGAATACTAGTATGCTCATTCTAGCCATTTCTCAAGATTTCACAACGTTCCGCAACACGAGCCGAGCGAACGTGGCAATTTCAACAAAGCGTACACTGTCTGCAGGCAGATAAATAACCACTGCAAGGAAGAAAGAAGGAAGAGGTCTCCAGTGGGAATCCAAAAGCCTGGTTCGTTGTGTACGATATCGGGGAAAGGAGAGACAACTAACTACAGTCATGTAACTTGAACAAGAGAGCAAAGTGATATACGAAAAGGTAATCCACTCACATGTCCCCTACTGGCCCTAGTCAAAGCTGAATCTTCCTCACATCCGCAAACGGTCCGTCCACCACCAATGGTCGGTGCAGCTTTCCAAACTGACCTCCTTGTTACAGCGGTGTCTTGACAGAATAGTTGAACAACTTATCACCTCCACTTCGACCTCCTTTCACTACGCTTCAGTCTTGAGCATCTTGCAAAGCTACAGTTGTGAGTTTCTTTCTGCCAAATAAAAGACTCGAAAGAGTGCTATGCTGTTGATGCTGATTTGACCAAGCTGAGCTAGCTGTGACCATGGTGACTAGTCTGTGAGCTGAGGCTGAATGAGGTACAAAAGTTACTACTAGTACTAATAAGTACAAAATTAGTACATGTAGTTCGTCAAGGTGACTCGTATCGTACTCGTTGTTATTGACGTAACCAACGTCGTTATGTTGACATAATAGACACCCTTAGCAAAAAACGTTATGTTGTAACGGTATTATCGTAAGGGGGAAAATACCGTGATTTGGGTTCGACCTTTAGCAAGATGCACGCTATTTTTAGTACGCTGTTGCCACGAGAATAGCTTTGATTTCGCGCGGTACAACCATTTTTGTCACCATATACGCGATACAAGGTGAAATGCGTACGGACTATGCAATATTTGGCCAAAACACGTACCGTTGGTCATAACGATAAATCAGCCCCCGTAACGTTTATACGCTGCAGCTTCAACGCTATTTGGGTGATCAAGGTACGAGTACCGTAAAAAATAGCGTTACCGTTGTTTGCTAAGGGTGTCTAATAGACACCCTTAGCAAAAAACGTTATGGTGTCTATTAGACACCCTTAGCAAAAAACGTTATGGTGTAACGGTATTATCGTAAGGGGGAAAATACCGTGATTTGGGTTCGACCTTTAGCAAGATGCACGCTATTTTTAGTACGCTGTTGCCACGAGAGTAGCTTTGATTTCGCGCCGTACAACCATTTTTGTCACCATATACGCGATACAAGGTGAAATGCGTACGGACTATGCAATATTTGGCCAAAACACGTACCGTTGGTCACAACGATAAATCAGCCCCCATAACGTTTATACGCTGCAGCTTCAACGCTATTTGGGTGATCAAGGTACGAGTACCGTAAAAAATAGCGTTACCGTTGTTTGCTAAGGGTGTCTAATAGAGAGGTTCCGCACTACGTAAAGTTGAGCAACTTTACGTTAGTGGGTGGGAAAAACCCGTGAATTCGCGAGTTTGCACTCCACTTACGGAAAGTTGTCTACCAGGTCTACGGAGAGTACGTAGATAGGGCTCTGATAACGTAGCTGGTCCGTAAGTGGATTGGGGTACAAATTTATGACTCTCTCCCCAGGTCGATCTGGTCGTACACTGCCGCGTTCGGAGTTGCCAAGGGCAGCTACGTGATTTGAAAACTCCGTATGGCGGAACCCAGATCCGCATGCAGTTTACGTAAGACTTTCCGTTGATCGACTACGTTTTTTACTAACGTAATTACGTTATGCGGAACCACGGGTGTTTCGCAGTCACTGTAGGCCTTTCCGGATTATGCGTTTGCATATTTTTGCATTTTGGAGGTCAAAATGCATTTTGTCCATTTTGACCCACTTAACTTTGGGCCAGGGAGTAGTAAAATACCGGTATTTTACTACTCCCTTGCACGCGATAAAAAATTAAAATACTTCACGGTCCTCATGAATGGTCACCATGGTGCCAAATGTCACGCGACTAGCTGTCTGTCGCCATTTTGTTACCATGGCAACGGTGGCATTTTTTGTGCTTTTTGGGTAAAATTTTGCATTTTCTTCAAGAATTTTTTTGATTTATAGGGGTTTTTCAAAACACTTTCCATTTCCATTTTAGACCAGGAAAAAACGCATAATCCGGAAAGGCCCATCGCAGTGGCCACTCGTCAAGATGGCGGCAAATCCGAGAGTACAAAAATTTCGACTCTGCCTATGTGCGCGGCGGATGCGAATCTCGCACGTGCATGCAAAATCTAGCCTTCTGCAGAGCTAGCTGGGTAGAGCAAGTAGTAGTAGTAGTAGTAGTAGTAGTAGAATTTATTATTTTGATAGGGAAGGCCCTACAGACGTTGCCGTCTTGTTACAGGGAACCCTAAGTGCTCTTTACAGAGCGAAACAAAAACGGATAGATGCTCAACCTGACGACACGAGACAGGCAGAGAATTCCACCTATCAGCGCCAAGGAAAGAAATGGAGAACATGCCATATCTAGTGGTAGCAGCGGGCAAAGAAAGTGAAGAGAATGATTGCCCTCTAGTGCGCCTCTCGGTGCAAGTAGCAGCCGACTGGAGGGTGAACATTGAGGAAAGAAGAGGACTTGTAAGCTGATGAATACAGCGGAAAACAAAAATAAAAAGCCTCAAGTTGAGACGAGATTCGAGGGAGTATAACTTAGCGTGCCGCAAAACAAAGACAGTGTAGCCAGTGCAGGAACGACGACCTTTTTCCGAGAGAGAATGTGGCTCTTTTCATCCCAACATTTTACTCGCCATGCTCTCCCTCCCAGCTTATTGATACGAGTATGTGCTACCGAGTAGAAGTCTCCATCCTCAGAGTAGGCCTGGCAGAATCGCAAGGTTGAAATACTTGCTCACTTGGTTTTTTGGTCCTTTGAGGTGTTGATGTGATTGTTGTGTACAACTCGAAGTGACAAACTTGAGACCCCCGCGCCACAAAAAACTAAGGCGCGCCACAAAGTTTCGTTTGGCTGTTCAATGAAAGGACGTATGGAAGCAGGGATAAAAACTATCGTGGCTAGGCACCGGCGGATTATGCCGGCATAATTGTAGGCATAATTTGGTGGATGAAAATTTGGAGCATAATTTGGCATCCTTTCGGAGCTAGGAGCATAACTACACGATTATACCACAGTTGTAGTATGTAGGCTATACAATTGTGTACAATGCACCTGATCAGCGCTGGTGGTCTGCATGGTAAAGGGTTCGGAGGTCATGCACACAGTGTTTTCAATGAACAGCAGGGTAGAAATCATGGCAATACAGTCACGGTATTGTATGCTCGAGCTCGTCTTCTTCAAAGTTCTTTCTCACACTGACACAGTACATGTACAATGTAGCAGAAGATGCGAGTGAATCAGCCTTCATCAGGTATCCCGTAGTGGACGAGATAGTGGCGGGTAGTTTCGCAAAACTCCGTGTACATGTACATGTACATTACATTTGTACATTATGCATGTTACGAAGTCATGACCTCTGGTAGTCTGGATTTTAGCAGCCATGATATGACTGCAGGCTATGGATATTGCTCGAAATTGATGTATAGTTGATGTTCGGTCATGATGGAAGGAGAAGTGGAGCTACGGGAGAGATGAGCTGATTATTCGCAGGGTGAGGGTGACATAGGTTGGACAAGTATGATGATTATGAAGACCGTGAGTTGAACATGATAATCTTCAAAGATAACTCAAACTAATTTGGCAATGAAATAATATTTTTACTGAAGTACAAAATAAATCAAGTGATGAATAGAAGAAGTAATGTTTTCTCTTTTCCAAGTTGATCTCTAACATGCATGGACACCTTGCAGCTTGGTATGGGGATACTCATGTACATGTATTTTGTTGTACTTATGGCCACTTGCAACTTGCAAGTACGAAAAAGGCACAATTTTCCGAACTTTGAGGCTCCATAAGTACAACAAAGTGAATATAATATCCCCGGTGCCAAAGCATAATATGAGGATTTTACGAGCATAATGCGAGAATCCATGAAAGCATAATTCCATGATTTCGCGAGCATAATCCGCCTGAGCCTAATCGTGGCTGCCGGCAAAACTCTTAGTAATGTAATAAACGGGGGTGAGACTTTGGTAATTCCAAGGAGAATGTACGCACGGCCATTAATAATAATAATAATATCTTTATTAGGATGACCCAGAGGCTTGTCGCCTATATCAAGGGGTTCACCGCTTTGAAGGATGTACATGTACATGTACACGTATGAGCTAAAGTGAAAAGTTGTGCAGCGTGAATGCGTTGGGGAGCACACGGGGGGGGGGGGGGGGGGTTATGTACATGGCGTAGGCATACCGGAGAGCGAAGCACTATGTTTGCAAGTGAGTTTGCGAAGCTCATTCTTGAAAACATTATTATTATTATTATTATTATTTAAATTTTGAATAGGGCAATCCCCACAGGCCTAACGAAGACGAACTACGAGCTCAAAAACACGCCGATTTTCAAACAAACGACGCAGGAAAGAAGACATGGCCGCAGTGTTCCCGTGTTGCCTTCAAAACACCTAGTTTTACTTCGATAGCGGCTGGTTCAGGGCAAATTCAGGCCCAATTCGACAGCGTCGTACCGCTCAGATTCGCCCAAAACACGAGGAAATGTACGGTAAATACAAATGCGTACGCATTTTGCGTACGGGGACGACTGGCCAGAGTTCATGCACTGCAAACACCCGCGATACTGTATACAACACCTTTAGGCTTTATTTCGGTGTAATTTAAATTTCGGTAACTTCGGTACTGGTCCTGGATCACCTAATTTAACATTACACCTAAATTTTCCGAAATACCAAAATATGTAAAAATCATGAAAATCACTGTCAAATTAAAGGGGAAGTCCGGTGAAAAATTTAAATTTCAGGGTTGGTAGAGTTTCGGCCGCTGAGTCGAATGGTGTTGGTCTCACATGTCCCCGACAAAGCGTTCTCGAGATATTTCCGTTTGAAAAACTGAGTTTCGGGGGCTGCGCCATGACGTCATGCGGCCGCGCCACACCCTCCGCAACGTCATAGCGTGCAGCTAGGTCAAAAGCCAAAGGAGTGCATGAAAGCAATACTCAGTATTGGCAATAGTGTCAGTGCTATTTCAAATGATTTGGCGACCCATAGTACTAGGTGGTGCAAGCGACTCCGAAGACGTAACCATGGTAACTCCTTGTGAGAGTGAGGATGCAGCCATGGCCCATGGCTGACCTTCATGAGTTCGGTCTGGGGCTGAGAACCTCGGTATTCAGCTGAAGAAATGGCCGCGCGGGCCGGTCAAGAGTGAGCGCTACTGAGTTTCCGACTGATGAAGAAGCAGCAGGTATTGCAGACGAAGCTGATATAATTATCAGCTCGCTGGAGAGCAGAGTCGCCAAAATGGAGAAGAGTGATGCGAGTGCTCTAAGACTAAATGTTGTTCCATACCGATTCGCTTAGACTCCAGTA